AAATTAAGTTTTGATTACATTTACCTAAGTTTACTCCTAGCTTAATCGTATTAATCTACAAAAATGCGTGCTTGAGTCTTGTTCACCACTAATTGCGCGCGTCCATCGTTGATTGGACCGCAAGAGATGGCTTACATGATGACCCACATCAGCCAGTTGGTGAGCATTTCTGGATATTACCCCTTGTGGTAATATTCACGAACATTATCATCCTTTATAATAATAATTTATTAGACAAGTGTCAAGGATTATTACATGTAACTGGCTCATCCCGTTTTCCTGGCCATTTTCTTTTTTCACGGCTAAATAAGGCACTTTTTTCTTATGATTATCGGAGTCATTTATTAAAATTTATTATCTTGATTATTTTTCATTTGTAGCTATCTGGGCCATTTTATTTATTTTTGTGACCAAATGAGGAATAATTTGTCTCCCCTTCTTATAATTCTATCAGCCACGCATGGTGGACAAACCCAATAGACAACACGACCTTTCAATAAAATCGACGACCAACAACATGAGGATTTGCGACGACACCGAGAAGATATCGGACGACTTCTCGGGATAGACAATATGAACGGACCAAATGTATCATGTGCAGTCAGTTTTGTTCTAATACATCATAAAAATCCGAGGAAATACCACTAGCATCCTGTAAAAATAACAATTAAATACCTCAAGGGCATAAATGATCTTCGCCTTGAAAACTATAAAGAAAGCCGCACATCTTTGGCTCAAGAATCTTGACGTCGTGATTTTGTTGGTCATAGACTAGACCAGAGACAGGATCGACCGAAGGTCGACAAGTGGATCGTCACGTACTGTTAACGTTAGACATGTGACTCATTCATTTAGCAAACAACATATGGTTGCACTATCAGCCATAGAAGCTTTTTGCGGAAGCTCCAGCGACTTCTGAATGCGGATGGGTTCGCCAACCCATGCAACACATCTTCATGATCGAGATCGGGCTGCAGCTCAAGATCGACAACAAAATTTCTAAACAAAATACCAAGGCAAAGGTCAAACGCGTCAAAACACTTCCTACTCCATTTAATTTATTCGAGACGAGAATGCGAACAGTCGGGTCGAGATTGAGTGGAGTTCATCGGCAGATCGGCTTGTCAATATATTTACCAAGCCGTTCACGTTTGTAGTCTTCACTCACCTTCAAACATCGCTGGGAAACTTCCAGAAGTAGACGCGTATTGATACAAAAAAATCGTCAAAATTAGGTCGATGTAGTACATATGGGGTGCTACAGCACTTCAACCGCGATTGCAGGTGCCGGGGTCAAAACGCCCGAGAAGGATCTTCGTTGCAACATGAGTCTACGTCACATAGGTTATGAAGTCGAAGGAAAATTAAGACCTTGGATTACGGAGATAAGACCGAAGAGCATACAAGCTTAAGAAGAGGACGAGTAAGTGATTAATCGTGGTAGCGCCAATTTAGGCATTTTTTAGGCTGATTAGGTCATCATAAAGCTAGTTTCGCACTTGTCAGTCTTCATTCTTTGCAATGTGCATTGAAGCTCGCAACTAAACCTGCGCTAAGGACATGCTTCTGCGAGTGGATGTCGGGAACACCTGCGATTCCGTTTTTTGTCCATGAAAAAATGCACTTAAAATGTAAAGGGAACTGTTATTTCCACCACACCGTAACATTATATTCAATAGTTTTCAGCGCACTGTACCACACCACCACACACTATCGTTTACGGATAGTAGGAGACTTTCTTATCTGTAAGATTGCTATTGAGTGTGGGATTACGCTGTAGGAAGCAGCTGGTTTGCTCAATTTTCCAACACATACTAATCTATACCTGGCTGCATTCTACGCTTTCGGTAGCCACCCTCGAGTTTAAAGCCGATAAATCACACCTTTTCATATCATCGTTGATCATTATTTAGTCAAGAGAACGTCAATTACCGCTTAAGTATCCGTTCAAAAAATCGATGTCAAGTTAAGACCATTGTGTACTCGCCAGCGCCCACCACACAAGAAATGAGCGACGACGAGCACAAGGATGATGAGTGAGACAAGACAATGTACTGGGGAGGAAGTGTTTCTGCTGCGGGTGGTGATTAAGATACTCAAGGTGGATACCATCTCTGACTGTTTGCAAGAGTACCAGAAAGATGCACACGCGGCAAGAGCGACGTATATACACTACTGAAGATGCGACGCCACAAACGGCGGTGCTAAGTATCCCATTGAATGTGAGGATGACAGTCCAGACTCTGCAGGAGATTGAAGCGTTGCAAAAATGCATTCTTCCAGAATATTTACCGTGAGCGAGAGGACGATAAAAAGCCTCATTATGATGTCAAATAATTTTTGTGCAAATCAGCAAATACACGTGGTCAAAGCACTTAATTCTACGTCATGGGCGTATTACAACGCACATTACATTGACAGATAGAAAAAAAGGCACGACAAGGCAGAATTGGTTTATTTTGTTGCTCAGAAGATCGAGCGGCAAGTCGCACACGGCTGTGAGGAATAAAATGATATCGTGTCTAACGATCTTTCTAAAATCGTCACTGGCTTTTTTTTGGCAATTTGACAGTGCTCTATTTGGAGATCTTTGTTGAACACGGGGTTGGGGGTGTTGTGGTGCTTCGGTGGTGTGGTATGTTGCGCCTATAATTATTCAAACAAAAGTTATGGTGTGGTGGAATTAGGTAAGGTGTGGTGGAAATAGTAAGAAGTGTGGTAGACATAACAGTTCCCGATTGTAAATAGCGCCCACTAACTCGTAAAACTGACTGAACAGTGAACAAAGCCATGTGTATCGTACCTGGTGAGGAGCGTACCGAGTGTGAAGGCTTCTCAGCAGAAACAAAATGCTCATCAGTAGCTACACCATGACCTCAATTAGTGTGGATTGGCTCATGATATGGATTCCGAATTAGTGTGATACACACTATTACTGGTGTGGAACCTGGAAAGCCTGGTGGAAATGGAGTGGATTCAGAATCAGTGCGGATCTACAGGACCCCTATGCCCAACCACAACTCCTGCGTATATAGTTCAAATGTATCCTTCCACAGTCATGCCACGACGCACTGACCGCGCTGCCCCCCCCTCAATCCCTTGTCTCCCCCAAGCCCTAAGCGCCACCCTGATTCCCTCCTGATTGTCTATCGACACCGCTGCGAGATCTAGCACCAGTCATGTGATGAACTTGGTGAACTTCGGGGCCGCCGCCTCTCTATCACCGATTATCACGGCGTTAGCACGCGGTACAGCTCGTCAGACAGCCGAAGGTGCTGATTGAGATCCTGCAATTAACACTAACAGTGATGCCAAAGGCGCTGGCAGAAACGTTGGAGGCACATACGGAAGGGATATCGAAGGAATAGCTGGTGGAACTAGATTTTGACACTAATTTACGCAAGCGCTCCCTACACAAAGTTTCGACGATCGGTAAATGTGTCGAGGTCATAAAGTAGATGGTCGTGGACGCCAATGAAAACAATGATAGGTTTTTTCCTTTGTACAATCAACCAGTTCCCGTCCAAGTTCCATGACAAATACCAGGTAAGTACATGATTCTTTAGCTTTCAGGTCGAACTATCTGGCAGCATATCTGAGTTGTGTGCACTGCAATATTATTGTCATAGGCCTATCATGCGAAATACACTCGGTGGCGGAAGACTTGCGCAGAGTTCGAGGGCCTTGACAAGTTTATGCCAAGTCAATATCTACTGTGAATGGGTCGGGTCACAGTCAGGTAACAATGAAGGCGATCGCTGGCCGTGGGCGGCTCCAAGCTCAATAGGTAGAGATGTAAATGACATCCTTCTCGCAGATCTCAGTCATTTAAAGCCACTGAAGTCAAGTTTTAGCCAGCACTCCTTGCCATCATCGCCCGCGACATCATCCTTACTCCAACAAAATTCACTGTGAAGTTTTTAGACCAACTTATGTTGATCTCGATGACGACATCAATGTCATTGACAAGATCAAAAGACACTGGGTACAATAGCCCATGGTATGTGGTGTAACATCAGCAGCATACTTTACGTACAGCGATGCGCTGGACTTGCATTGACCTTTCATGCCTCTACTGTAGGAGGCAAATGGGATTGTGATGAGATTGCAGACAGGAAATATTTTGTACAGCCCGGAAAAGGAGGCTCATACTGAGATGAGCGTGTCTTACAACATGGGTGAGCTGCATCGTGGATTCAAGTCAGGGTAACTGCGCGAGGAGCTAATTTGTAAAATGGATGAGACCCACATCGTTACCAACCTTGACAGTGGACGCACGCTTGAATCCGCGGAGACGAGAATGTCAAGTACGCGAAAGTTGTCTCGGGTGGTGAAGGGATGACAATGATAGTCCACATTACAGGTGGTGCAAGCTCACGCACTTTTACGTCAATGCTCATCTTTTAGAATACGAAGCGCAAATATCCGATCTAAGGTTGCCGGATACTGTGCACGGAGTTGCGTATCGATTCGGGACAAAAGGCTGGAGGGACAAGACGGTAGGTTTTTTGAAAGTGAATTTTTGGTTAGGAGCACAGATGGAAGCGCATAATTGTCGATTGACTTCTTCTTCTTTCAATTTTTTTCAACCTTATGCCTAGAGCGGCTAGTATACAGGGGTGATTTGTGCGGTCGAGAGACCATCATGTACCTTGACAACTGCGGAGGGCATAGTAGGTCTGAGAACCTTACCGCAGCGTTGGCGTTGGCTCAGACGAAGACAAAGCTGTGTCACTTTCCACCATGCTCGACACAGCTCATCCAGTCCTGTGACTCCTTTGTCATATCCAAGACAAAAGACGAATGGACGAGGCTGTGGGAGTGGTAAGGATGCGGATGATTATGATCGATGAATGTTCCAATGCTTTGCGGCGAGAAGGGACATGGTCAGGTATGCTGAAGAATCCAGGAAAGCTCTTTTTCATGGAACTGGCTGCAGAAAGGAGGAAGGTAAGCGTGATGCGTGACGCGGCTTTGGGATTTCATATGCACGCAAGGCAATGATTCGTTGTGCTTTCTTTCGACGTCTCGGGACTTTGGCACAAGAATCAGCTTTTCCCGAGCAACAACAGACAATCCCTAGGTACTGGAGAGGCTTTGAAGGTGTGTTTGTCCCGGTTCCTGATGCCGAGGCTGTCCGGGTCTCTGGCGCCGATATCATGCTGTAGTGAAAATAAACCGTTATGCGCATAGAGTGGATTCTAATAGGCGCAAATGTGTACTGCGTGTACTATTGGGCTTCATATTTTTAATCACCCTCGGAGGGTCTGGGAACAGTTTTTTTTACAAGTGTATGCCCAAATTTGATGTGCCTACGACGACCTATGGGAACTTGCGGGACGTGAGAAATATGCGACTTCAGCATAGCATACACGGAAATTTTCCAGTCGTCCAAACGTTTTCAAATTACACGTGGCACTGTGGCCCTCGGAGCATCATTTTATACTAAGTAAACTGGTCCACGCTTGTAGACTCTCAGCACAATTTCACGGGGTTTGCATCAAAGTGGGCTACTGCATGGAAGTGACTATTCTTGCCATAGGGTTTCATCAAAAGGTACTGCGGTCGTCACATGCATGCAGGACCATGACATAATTCACACATTGATTTTAAACACTCAGAATTAGCGTGAGACACACTATCATTCCAAGCACTCAAAATTGTGGATTCAAATATAATGTGGTACATACTAAGAAATGAGAGGGCCGGCAAACCAAACGGTTACAAATACCGAACGGTTATCAATATTGGTACACACTAATAAAATTGACAGTGTGGCTATTTTCACATTGTTTCTTCTTATCCTTTTTTCGCGTCGTTATCGGAAAAAGACCGGTCATCACCCAAAACAAATTCGAAATCGCGTTCGTACCAAATATGATACCTTCGTGAGAAATATTCAAATGCCCACCATAGTTTCTGTGGGCAAGACGCGTGTTGCGAGAAGGAATCGTTAGGTAAAAAATAAGATTCTGTTGTATTTTTTTTACTAGTTCTCTCTTCTCTGCCATGCTCGACAAAGCCCTCTGCTCCAGTCATCCATCTCACACGCATTCTGGCTCTACTCGAATCACTATCCTGCTTGTCACTCTGAGCCCACCTTTTACGCAAAGCGAGTTTGTGACATCATGTTTCTGTATAAACCCCAAGTCACCGGCCGAACACTCCGATCGCCGTTACGTACCCTTGCACCTATTTCCAACATTCCAACACTCCTCCTCGGTCGTGAATTGCCCTCACACCCAGTTCCATTTCTTGAGCTTGCTTATGTCCTTGTCCTTGTGCTCCTCCATCCTTGAGCTCCTTGATCGCCCTTAATCGTCCTTGACCTTTTCTTAACCAATGCGCACGAGTGCACGCAGTGTCGAGATTTTCGTCGCTTCCAACGCCTTTGTGAGGAGGTCTGCGAGCATCTGCTCCGATCTGACATAGCTCGCCGTGATGATACCGCGACGCGAGTAGTCGCAAAGGAACTTAGGGCGCATTTACATGTTTTGCCTTCAGCGATGATGCCTCTCCCGCGATCTGCTCGATCGCCGCTTGGTTGTCCACCCGCAACTGCATCGGAAGCGCGGGCTCTACGTCCACTTCGCACAACATTCCGCGCAGGCCGAGCAGCTCGCGCGTGACTTCACTCGCCGCGACAAATTCCGCCTCCGTCGTCGACAGGGAGACGCCTCCCTGCTTCCACGCACCCCAGCTGACGGCCATCCCGTTCAGCATCACGATGCCACCCGTCATTGACTTCCGGTCCGTCTTGTAGGCGGCAAAGTCGGCGTCTCTGAACGCTTCTAGTCGAATCGCCGCACCTAGATTGTCTTCTGGGATCATCGTGACCTTGAGTGCCGCCGTACCCTTTAGGTATCGCGCGATGCGTTTGGCCAACTTCCAGTCTGCTAGTCGAGGCGCGTGGGCTCGTATCGTTACCTTGTGTACCGCAAACGCTATGTCAGGGCGCGTGCAACGCGCCACCCAGAGCAGCGAGCCGACCAGCGACTGGAACTGGCGCACAGTCGGTCCTAATTGCGCGCTTGGCGTCCCAAGAAGCTCCGCGTCGCCCTCTTCCAACTCGTAACAGCTGTCGTCGATCGGCGTTCACAACGAGTTGGCGTTAGCGAGTCCATTGTCGCATAGGAGGTCTCTGATGGCCTCCTCCTGATCGAGCGTGTACCCATTCTTACCGTTGTGCGTCGCGCGCATGCCCAGGAAATTGCTGACACGCCCCAGGTCCTTGATCGACAACGACGCGAGGCTTGCAAAGAACCGCTCGACCGCAGCCGCGCTCGTCCCTGTCGCTAGAAGATCGTCGACATACACGCCGACCACGACGAGGTCGTCGCCGTCGCGCTTCCAGTAGAAACACATGTCGCTCTCACACCGCGTGAAACCGGCAGTAGAGAGCTTCGAGTGCAGCAGCTGGCTCCACAGCCAGCCTGCCTGCTTGAGCCCGTAGTGGCTCTTCCGCAGCTCCAGCACCAGCTCGCTCGCGTTCGAAACGCCTTGCGCTCGTAGCGTCTCCTTCGAGACTGGCATGCCGCGCGGCATCTGTAGATAGATGCGCAGGTGCGGCTCCTTGTCCGCTTTAACGTAGGCGTTGGGGATGTCACCGTGCTTGGCAGGAACCCCTCCCACGTAGCCACAAGCGCCAGGATCACTTTGACCGTCGATAGGTCCATCACGGCAGCGAAGATGAGCGTGTAGTCGACGCCAAGCACCTGTTCGTTGCCACACGCCACCAGTCGCGCCTTCAGCCGCTCGAGGTCGCCATGCACATCTGTCTTGGTCTTGTAGACCCATTTGGTGTGCAGCTCATGCTGTCTTGCCGTTCGCCTTGTGATAGTCCAGACGTCGTTAACCTCGAGCGCGGCGATCTCCTCTTGCATCGCCATCTCCCACCCTTTGCGCTTGCCTCTGCGCATCGCCTGTCCATAGTTAAGCGGATCGTGCTCGAAAGCAGCTTTACGACTTCTCCGCTCGCGGCTGTCTCCTCCTGACGAGCAGCCGCTTCCGCGCGTTTCGACGCCCCGCGTGTTCCATGCGCCTCTCGCGTCCATCGCTTTCTGCTTTTACGCGTCTCCCTGTTGCTTTCTGCGCGACCATCGTTCGTCACTGCTGCTGCTGGCGCGTCCGTCTCCTCCTGGCCTCCGGCTCGATCGCCGACGTCCATTGCGCGCTGGAATTGCGCGTTTTGTGCCTCCGTCAATGTCTCGATATTCTTGAAGTGCTGCGTGACGACCACATTGTTGTCACGCGGTAGCAGCACTTTGTAGCCCTTGGTTTCCTCGCTGACGCCGACAGTGATGGCGCGCCCCGAGCGCTGCAGCAGCGAGTTCTTGCGCGGGTCTCTATACACGCTGCACTGGGAGCCAAAAACGACAATTCCACGCAGATCCGGCGTCTTACCCATCAGCACCTCGACTGGTGACGCTCTCTTTGCGTTTGCTCGCGTTGGGCTCCAGTTGAGGATGTGAACGGCGTATAATTCTGCGTCTCCCCAGAACATCAGGGGCAGCGCGCAGGCAAACATCATGCTGCGCGCAAGGTTCAGTACTGTCCGGTGCATTCGTTCCGCCTTGCCGTTTGAGGCCTAATTGCGCGCCTCCGACACTTGGCGCGCGACGCCCGTGCGCTCGCAGAACAGGTCCACTTTGGCGTATTCTCTGCCGCCGTCCGTGCGGAGCACGTGGACCTTGAACCCGAAAAGCTTCTTTAAGTGAACGAGGAAGGCCTCGAACTGTTTCGCCGCAGCGTCCTTCGTGCGCGCGAGGAAGACTCGGCAGTAGTTGCTCTTGTGATCAACGAAGTTCACAAGGTAGCGATTGCCGAGTCGGTCCCGCGGCGTCATTGGACCCTTCAGGTCCGAGCAGATGACGCCGCCGATGCGATCGATGGGATAGTGCTTGCCGCTGTCTTGTTGGGACTGCGCGTTGCGCGTCTGCTTGCCCTCGAGGCACGACACGCACGCCATACGTTTATTGTTGCTAAGCCGTATGCCTTATGCAGGATCGCGCGCCATGCGTTAGATCGTGTCGAACGCAAGGTGGCCGAGTCGCTGGTGCCAGTGCAACAGCGAGGCTTCGTGCGGCTAGTCGGCGTTGGTTTTCGTGGCATGCGCTTCGAGCTCCACCATGATCGCGTCACCGCCTGCACCCTCCTTGTCGCGCGTGGCCTCCGTCACGACATACAGCACGTTGCTGTCGATTGTGACATCGAACGCGACCGCACCATCTCTGCACCGAGCGAGCGAGCGCCTGTCGCCGGAGTGCACCAGGGCAAATCCTTTGTTCGCGAGCTTGCCGTTAGACACAATGTTCTTTGCCAAGTCGCGACGCCAATTTCACATCCGTGAGCGTCACCACCGCCTCAGCGCCGCGCGCGAGAACCTCGAGGCGCACGCTGCCGACACGCGTCAGGTGAAGCGACTCGCCGTCTGCCATTGCAATCTCGTGGCTGCAAGCCGTCGACTTGAGCAGCAGCGACTCGTCATTGACAAGATGCCGGCTCGAGCCGCTATCGAGGATCCAGTCTCCTCGGTTGACGGCCGTGGCATCGGTCGCCGCAAGTACGAGACCGCGCGTGCCATCCGTGGCTCGTACTCCGTCGCTCGTCGTAAGCACGAAGCCGCATGATTCGTCTATGGCTCGCGCTCCATCGCTTGCATTGGCCGCTGCGGCGTCCTTGCCTCGCGAGCCCTTATTCATCCTGTTGCGCTTCTTCGTGGTCGTCCTGCGCTTCTCGGTCAGTGCAAGAATCATGCTGGCACCACCCCCTGCGGGTGTCACGTCGTCGTGTACGACTCGCGCGCGACAGTCGATCGCGATGTGGCCTGGTCGACCACATCGGTTGCACGTGATCTCGCCCTTGGGTTTGTCTTCCACGTGCGCGGCGACAATTTCACGACCCACCGCGCTGCTGCCTTGCTCAATGGACTGCGCGAAGTGCTCCAGCTCCTCGGCATGGCGCAGGTAGTCGAGTCGCGTGTGTTCATACTTGGAGCGCATCACGTTCATCAGCTCCGGCGAAGCGTGGTGGACGATGTTATTAAGAACAAGCGAGTCAGCACCACCACGCGCCTCGCTGACGGAGACCATGTACAGGAAGTGCTCATCCCAGGTGCGTCGTGCGTCCTTCTTGGCCATAAATAACTTCATCGCCTGGCTTGCAGTGATTGACGTCTTGAACGTGCGCAGGAGTTGCTCCATGATGTACTGCAGTGTGGGTGACTGCGTCCACCAGGTGTCGACCTGCTTGTGATAGTATCTCTCAGCGTGCCGGCGAGAAAGTGCCCAAGCAGGTCGACCTTGACGTCTTCGGTCCATCCGAAACCACACGACGCTTCCGCGAGGCTCACCGCGCGCAGAAACGTACGCCCCCAGTCAAAGAATCCGCTCCCGAGTCCGCGGTACAGCTCCGTATTATCGAACTTGCGTATGTTTAACTTCCGCTGGCTTGCTGACGGCATCCCGTAGCCGTTGAGGCCCGGTCGCGCATAAGCTTGTGGCAGGTCGACTTGTTACGGCGGCGGTAGCGCTGTATACTCCTGCGGGGGTGGCGCAGACGCTGGTGCGCGCTGCTGCAGCTGCGGTTCTGCGCGCGCGAGGTGGCTCGAGCGATGTGAATCGCGACGCGCCAAGATCAGTCGCGCGCTGGTACCCACGCGGCACCGGTGCCTTCTCCTCCGCATCTCCGATCGCGTCAATCGTCATCGGTGGGCCGCGCATGTTGGCACCGAGTTTCTAGGCGAACAGTCCGCTCTCCACGGCCCCGAGCGTGCGCTCCTCCTCGTCTCGCAATCTCTGCGACGACTCGAGGCTCGCCAGTCGATCGGTTAGTGCGGCGAGCGCGGCGAGGATATTATCGTCTTGCGAGCGGGTCCATCGTTGACGATTACGGGTGCGGTAGGCGCACGCGCTGGCGAGCCGCGCCCAGGCGTGGCCCGTGGGACAACCCCTAGTGTCTTCGTAGTCGGTTCGGTGGTTGCGGCCATTGGGCTCATAACCTGTGGGCAAGATGCGTGTTGCGAGAAGGGAGCGTTAGGTGAAATTAAGATTCTGTTGTATTTCATTACTAGTTCTCTCTTCTTTGCCATGCTCGACAAAGCCCTCTGCTCCAGTCATCCATCTCACACGCATTCTGGCTCTCCTCGAATCACTATCCTGCTTGTCACTCTGAGCCCACCTTTTACGCACGGCGAGTTTGTGACATCATGTTTCTGTATAAACCCCAAGTCACCGGCCGAACACTCCGATCGCCGTTACGTACCCTTGCACCCATTTCAACATTCCAACGGTTTCAAATATGGCGCCTACGTCCTCGCCCACCGACGCCCATGGTTTTTGTAGTGCTGGGTGCAACCGAAAATTGGTGGATGAGCGAGACATCTCATGTAACGGGGCACCCTGAAGCTTGTACTGATGGCAGTACAAGCTACTTATTCTGACGACAGAATAAGGCGGTGCCTCGGAACTTCACGTACACTCGTACGTGCAGAGGAAGACGGTAAGAAGAAGCGGGTACTTGGTTAAAGTAAAAGGTAGAACTGTATTTAGTATAGTTAATGTCTGTTAATAAACCACTATTTATCCTTATCCAACTATGTCTGAATACAAATGTGCATATCAACTATCTGCTCACCACTCATTGCGTGCGTCTGTCGTGGCGCGTCTTCGTTGGTTGATATAATGGCCTATATCAACCAATTAGGAACTACTCGTAAGTGCTACAAAATATTTGTCCTTATGACAATATTCTGAAAATACAACTCTTATAGTTATATTCTATTAACAATTTATTAAAAAAGTTATGCAACGATTCACCCCGTTACATCTCAAGCTATTATCAGTCAGCACCATAATTTGCAAAACTTTTATTGATCACGGTGTTAGAGGCTTCTTTGTACAGTGCAATTCTGGGTTTAAACTAGGCAAACGAAGCCGGGTGAGTAGAGCCCACCCACGACCATGGTTTTTGGTCTGTGGGTGAGTGCAGTAGTAAGCTCCGATGTAGAACTCTGAGGCCCACCCCGTACTTTGGAATATTACAAGTCGTCGAACGAAACGGAATTATCGAACACATCCCTCCCACGCGCCAAAAAAGGCCGGAAAACGCTCTTCGAAGAACGTCGTCCGACGCACAAAGTCTCAGGGCGACACTCACGTACTTGCCGCCCAGTCACTCACTCGCTCCGCCTCTCCCTCTCGTTTGCAAGCACTACCCGACACCGTCGCGCGTTCGTCTCCAAGCCATTTCGCGCACGCATCCGCATCGTCAGAAGCGTCAGCCGCTTCATTCTCAGTGCAAGAGCGTCAGCTGCTGGTCATCCCACTCCCGCTACTGTCGCTCGCTCGCTCTCTCTCATTCGAATCTCGGTCTTTGTTGACTGCAGCCGTCGCACTCGCTTCGTCATCACGAAACCCATCGACTGGCCGATTATTGGCCGAAAGACCGATCGACGGACCACTTGAAAGCGACGGCGAGAGCGCGTGGCGACCAGCGGCCACCCCGGAGCGCACGTGCATTCAACCGCTTCCAGTCGTGGGCAGGCGGACTCTTGACTGGTTCTGCGAGAAGAAGACGGGACCGAGCTGCGACTGATCCAGTGCCGTGGCCATTAACGAGGGAGCCGCTGACTCTGGCGTTTCGTGGGTCCGAAGAGCACCGGAACAGTGCATCGAAGCTCTACGAGGCAGAGTTTGCCAGTAAAGGTGGGAGCCAAATTGAGGAAGTGGAAGCCAAACGAGCGCAGCACGTCATGCAGGAAGTCTCTGCCGAACTCCAGCAGCAGCTACAGGCGCTGGGCATTAATCCGTCCGACGACGTCTTTCGCACGGGCTCGGAAGAGTTTGATCACAATGGACTGAGCTCCCCGATTCCACAAGAAGTGCGCTTCATGAACGCTGAGCTGCGACGCTGCCCCGTGGAAGGCGTCGGGATGGTGCTTGCTGTCTTTTCCGGGTCCGGTGCAGTGTACGAATTCGTGCGCACGCTGCGAAAGTGTATCTTTGGAAAAGTCAAGCACGCGGTGCGTCTGCAGATGACGCCGAATGGATCGTTTGTGCGCACGCAGCACGAGGTCGCTATCAAGGTCATGAGCAAGGTGGGTTTTGTGGTGTCCATTGGGCTTGTCCGTATGATGGTTTAAGCTTTATTTGTGACGGCACATTCTGTCTATTTGGTATTTCAGGTAATCATAGAGGAGGGAAATCTTCAAGAGAACCCGCTTGTCGAACTTGCCGCGCAACAGCATCTGTCAGTACCTGGCCATGAAAATGTGCTTACGCTGGTGAGATACTTTGCGTCTGCATTTCGCGTACAAGTTTGCTCAGGAATTCTTTGTTTGGACGCATGATCTCACAATGATGCTTCTTTTGTATAGATCGAGTGCTTGCATGACGCTGACTTCATCTATGCGGTGCTTCCGTTTTGTAACGGTGGTGAATTGTTCTCGATAGTGGAGAGTGGTGGCGCTATGGAAGAAACGGAGTGTCGCCACTGGTTTACCCAAGTTCTGGCAGGCCTTTCTTACTTGCAAAGCCGCTACATATGCCATCGTGACATGTCCTTGGAAAATGTGCTGCTAGATGGCGATACTTCGAAGGTAAGCAAGTCTCGATTGAGCGCGAGTTGGGAATGTGAGTAAGTGACGAACGATTGCTCTTGATTGTGTTCTGTAGATTATCGACTTTGGCCTCACCATCGGTATTCCCGTCGATTCACATGGCATGACGTACTCACTGCCGCCTGCTGGCGCTGTCGGCAAGATCTTTTACATGCCCCCTGAGGTATGTCTGCTGCGGCATCGCATGTGGTTGCGTGTGTATTCTTACAAGTACGTTGCTTGTTCGGCTCAGATTTACCGTAATCAGGTCCCCTTTAACGGCTTCTCGGCCGATGTTTGGTCAACGGGCGTCATGCTTTTCATCATGGTAACGGGCGCACCACCTTTTGAGCGACCAGACGACGCAGACCCGCGATTCCAGATGATTGCGAAGGGTAACATGAATGAAATGTTAGATTCGTGGGGAATGGATCACGTTTCTGCGGGTGTGCGTGACTTGATGTCGAAAATGCTGGTTGTGGACGATCCGTCGCGGCGTCTGACTGTAGAGCAGATTGCCGTGCATCCGTGGATTCAGGGCGGATAGGATGAGAACTAAAGCGACGTAAGAATGAATGGTTGTCTTGAACGAAAACGATATGATAAGTTCGGGTATGTCAAGGCCTCGCTGCTGCGCTGTTTACTGAAGACTGCATGCATAACTTCTTGCATTACTCACGTTAAGGGTGCACACACATGCCCTGTCCGTAAACTTTGCAGCTCGTTCAGCCCCAATCGGATCGACAGTAGTAGAAGGCGCCGGGTGGAGCTGGATGCATCGATGGCGGGAGATCTTGCGTGACAGCGGGTGGTTCGTGGTAAAGTGCTGCTGCGAATGGCTGTATGGGCACTAGTAAAGTCGAGTCGGGGCGAGTCGTTTGTGGCGTTCCTGCAGAGATTCCTGACGTCGCATTGACTGCACGTCGTTCGTGATCTGGATTGACAGCAGTGCAATCGATGGATGAGTACGATCACCAGATAGTGCATGACCACTCAGTGCATCTACATACCTGCGAAACTGTCGTACCAGAGCTTGACGTTGGCCTTGTGGTTGCGTCCGCGGTTGTGGCGCTGCCGCGCTTCGTGCGAGTCTTCGAACGACTTGTTGCAGTACTCGCACACGAACCGTGACTTCCCCATCGACGCAAAACAAACGATGGGATGAGAAGAGAGACATCCTCTCTAAAGTACGACGGCCAGACCAGGAAAACTCGCCGCTGCATTTCGACTTTCTCTACCCCCCAGCTCTGCATACTACGAACCACTAAGTATATGCGCCTGACAGCGTGATACTTGGGAAGAAGTACGACGGCTCACTTGTCTACGCATCACATCACCCACACGTTGACAGAGATGTTAAAACCAGTCCACTCAACCTGCATTGCCAGCTTCGCTTCGTTCACCTGCTCATCAAGCCATGTCATGCCTTCCCGTAGCAGCATATTCAGTGCCAACATACTCCGCTTCTTATCCCACTGCAACTCTCGTGCCAAGATGCTGACATTGATCATCCCACCTGTCGCCTGTGCCAACGCTAAAACCGTAGAGTGGTCCTGACTCAACACTACAGGGACCGTCACAATCTGCCACAACAAACGATGCAGTAATAAAGTCAGCATTCTCAACCTCTTCACTTGTCCAAAGCAAAGCCAAGCAACACAACGACAGCCCGCATGCACAGCCAGCCAAAAAGGACCAACCATCGTCCTCTCTTCCATGTCAATGAGCTGGAACCCCTCCCCCAGCACACTCAGCTTCTTCACTGCTCTCTTCACGTCGTCGTCCGTGACCGTCTGCATCGCCTGCCCCCTCTTCTTCTTCAAGAGCCGCAGCAAGTCACTCATGCCCAAAAGTCCGCCGTTCTTCGGTCGAGTCAGAATCCCCACTTCAATGATCTGCACCGCCAGCTCGTAGTAAAAGTCGCCCACGTCCAGCAACTCGGACCAAAATCCCTTTTTCGACGCCAATGGATCGACGCCAATCTTGGCGCACATGACCTGAAACTTGCGTCGAAAATCCGGATCTTTCTTGATATTATCCTTGTACTTGACCGCAAACGCCTGCAGATTCGTCCGAAAGAGCTCCAGCTGCGACGACACGTGCGCCAAATTCGACTCTACGATCTGCTCTCCAACTTCCGAGAACTGCTTCGTCTGCTCCTGTTTCTTGCGCACGGCGCCGATACCGACACCCCGTCGCCGCATCTGCGATTACGGGTACTTCCAGTGATCGATCCGATCGCTGGGTTCTACTCAGATCTGAGGACAGTCGGTCATTGGTCGATCCTGGCTTGCGTCGTCGATGTCTTGGTTTTGACGAATCCGCGCCTGTTTCGTGGCCCCCGATCTCTCGCTTTCGGACCAATCACCGTATCGCGCCCCCTGCGATTTTCTCTTCCAAAAAAAGCGCTTCTGTTCATTTCGCGGTTTGCGGTCGTCTCCGAACGAACGAGTGACCGTCTGATTAACGTGCTCGACCAAGTGCCTTCACGCTTCCACCTCTAGCTGCCAATGTTTGTCTTTGACTGGTTCTACGACGTGCTGGGCTACCTCGGTGCGTAGCTGTTGTTGCTGCTTGATTCGACGCAGGGGCCACGCACGAGGAGTGGATCTTTTTGAATTATCCGTGGTTCTTAGGATCCTCCACGGAGTCCCTAAACCAGAATGGGTACAAGTTGCAAAACCGAATCCTCATCTTGTGCTACCTCTTTTTTACGTCTCGTGGACCAGGTCTGTACCACAAAAACGCCAAGATCCTGTTCTTAGGCCTGGACAATGCTGGCAAGACCACGCTGTTACACATGCTCAAGGACGATCGCGTTGCCGTGCACGAGCCGACACTTCACCCCAGTACGTCAGTCGATGTACCATCCAGTAGCTCCCATCGCGTGACTCTAATCGTTACGGTGCTCGATTTGTCCGATAGATTCCGAGGAGCTGATCATTGGTAAGTTGCGTCTGCGGACGTTCGACTTGGGCGGCCACGAGACGGCGCGTCGCCTCTGGCGAGATTACTTTGCCACAGTGGACGGCGTTGTGTTCGTCGTGGACGCACTGGATCGTGAGCGCTTTCCCGAGTCCAAGCGCGAGTTGGACACGTTGCTGGGCTACGACGAGCTGGCCAATGTGCCGTTCCTCGTGCTGGGCAACAAGATTGACGTGCCGCGCGCGGCGTCGGAAGAGGAATTGCGCTGTTCGCTCGGTCTCTACGAGACGTACGGCAAGGAGGCCAGCGGGGACAAGGACGCGAGTATTCGCCCCATTGAGCTGTACATGTGCTCGGTGGTGCGTCGGATGGGCTATGCTGACGGCTTCCGCTGGATGGCACAGTTCTTGTAGATGACACTTTTGACCATGGTGAGTGCATGGGTGGATTGCCTGAGCGCTAACAAGTGCGAGAGATGCATATTAGCAGAGGAGGCGACTAAAGGAGCATCAGGACGGGACAGCCAGTGGCAAACAAGCTTTTGCCACTCGACGTCTCTCGCGTGTGAAGCCATATCGTGTGTGTTTCGACGCTGGTTTAAAAAAAACGCACAATAATCGTTTTTACGTTACGACTACTGTTTTAACGATCTAATGATCACGTCGATGTTCCTGTGGACCACACGACTTTCGTCCATCCACCTACCTGCCTGTTCCAATGGCCATTTCCCGCGTCAAATGAGCAGCTCCATTGACGAACTTCCGCAAGAGGTGACCGCTGTCGGGACGCTGGGCGACGTGGGCGCGGCCTACGCCGTGTACGAGAAGAACTGGCGATGCGAAGACTGCACGCACGAGAACTACGCGCGTCGCAAGCGCTGTTTCCGCTGCCGTGCGCCCAAAGTTGAGCGTCCTGACGCGCTGGTTGTCGACAGTCTGGGCGATCGCCACACGTGGCGCGAGGCGCTGGACCCGACGTCCAACAAGATTTACTACTACAACACCGAGACGAACGCGACGCAGTGGGAGCGCCCGGCGGCCATGGGCGCTGCGCCCCACGCCACAGGCTGGTTTGGTCGCGGCAAAGCAGGTACGAACGAGGGCGATCGATACGAGACTCTGAACGCGACATTTCTCTCCCGTCCGGCTCGAAAACAGCTGGATGTGATGCCAACGGCGAACTCGCAGCTCGAAGGCGCGTACGAGTACAACATTTGGTACGACAAGTACATTGGAGACCACTGGAACGACACGCGGGGCAAGGAACCCGCAGCCACGCGCTGCGTCTTGGCACTGGATGCCGGCAGGACGAAAGCCGATGTAGTAAGCAAAGCCAACCGCTACTTTTGCGTGCACTTTGCACGTGGTATGTGTGCAAGAGGCGCCGAGTGCAGCTATTACCACCGCTTGCCGTCTGCTGCAGATGAGACGAGGATTGGCATGATGCACGACTGTTTTGGTCGAGAGCGTCATGCAACGGATCGAGATGATATGGCTGGAGTTGGTAACTTTATGCGAAACTCACGGACGCTGTACGTAGGTGGACTAAAGTCGTGTAGTGGTCGAGAAGCACTGACGGCACAGAAAGAAGCGCTGGCCAAGCAGTTTGGCGAGTGGGGCGAAGTGGAGAACATCAACGTGATTCACCGGAAATCGATCTGCTTTGTGCGCTACCGTCATCGGACAAGTGCCGAGTTTGCTAAAGAAGCCATGGCGAACCAGTCGGTGCAGAGTGATGAAGTGCTGAATTTGCGCTGGGCCTTCGATGACCCGAACCCCGTGGCGAAACAAGCTGGAGAGCGCGCGGACCGAGATGCGATTGTTGCTGTGATGCAGGCTAAGGGCGCAACTATAACGGAAGATGCAGCGTTTGATTATCCGGAACAGTATCAACTGCCAGCGACGAAGCGACAGCGGATCGAAGGTGATACGATTGCGTCGTATCCCGACACAGACACACAATTCACTGCTGTCCAGAATGAATCGGAAAGTGCTGCGACAACTTGTGCTGCACCCTCTGATGAAGAATTGTACGCACAATTGAGCTACGCCGACCCGAGTGGCAAGGTCTCGATAGGTACACCCGAGGAGGACACGAACGACCAGGAGTAGAGTGGAACCCGTCATGCTTGCCTGAGTGCGGATCCGACAATAAATGGAACGACGACACAGAGGCGTTGAGGATGGCGGTCGTCGCTGCCGCTGACCCAGCCGACCACATCAGAACCTGGCGATCTCGTGGATCGAATCCACGCGGCTTCACAGCATGCAGCAGCCACGTAGTGCTTAATGACACAACTACCACTAGTTTGTGGCAAAGGTTGCAGTTGGATTCGTGGCTAGGCCATAAAGGTGCTGCTTGCCCTCAAATCTCTTGGCTTACAGCAATTAAGGTCTTCATGCAAGTGCTGAGTCAGTCCACCTCGCTCATCGTCGGTTTCCAAAAGGTGATGGCCAACAAAACCTTTCCTCGTGCTCGAGCTTATCCTCTCCTTATACACACATCTTGCATTACTATTGAAAATCATTCACTTGTTGAGACTGACAATAGGTGCCTCGACGCATCGCGAGCTCACCTAAAAGAGCCGATTGTGTCACGGTAACTTTTGTTTGCCATAGCTACTGACTGTTGAATGACATTGACTACTCGCAAGGATTAAAAGTGACTGGTAATCTTTGATACGGGAAGCGATATGATGAGCTAAGCGTGGTCGGTGTGTGCTGGTAATGAGTGCCGACTGCAAAAAGTCAAGTTGACGTTGTGGTAGCGTATACAGTACGTGATGATTAAGTATATGCCAGTTAGTTACTCTAAAGCGTGTGTTTCTTGTTGTAGCAGTCTACAAATGTGTTTCAAGGACAAGGTGTGAGCAAAAACCTCGAGTGGATGGCGGCGTAGTGAGCTCATTACTGACATCGATATTTTATCCGAGAAGGAATGTGTTTGTACCCATTTCTATAAATGTACACACAATTTGTACAACACTCGATGGTTGCATTCCTCTTACTTCTAGCGAGCCGTTACCACCCACCAGGTTTCGTTAGCCACCCACCTTTCCCAATCTTTTACCCCTTACGATTTAGCTTTGAGGTTCTTAATTTGTCAGATTTGGAAACTCACCATTTCAAAACTAGCTTACAATCTCATATTCAAATTGTATGCACCACACCTGTCAACCTATATCACTTCTGTCAACCTATACCGCATCTGTCAACCTATACTACATCTGTCAACCTATACTGCATCTGTCGGTATAAGCAACATCCGTCAACTTATACTACGTTAGTCAATATTCTGACGAATGTCTTTGGCAATATGTGTACTGGACCGAGTGTCTGTGGCCTTCAAGTTGGTGTTAGTGACTATAGCATTCATGTTAGTGGCCGTACTGTGAGAGTTTGTGCTTCAAGTGGCACTTTCTAGTCATCAACAACGTCATGCAGCGCGCTCACCTTGTTACTGTGTGCTCGTGACTTCCTAGTTATGAAGTAGAGATGCTCCATTCGTCAGCCACATCCACGAATTGATCTATTAAAATATACTACATTTAAGGGAGCTGCATGAGCCTTCAGTTTACGCTGATGGGCCTTCACTCCATACATCAATCAACCTTTTAAATTTGAAACCTCTAAACTGTAAAATTGTCCAATTTACTTTTACGCTTTTAATCCTGAATGTTCACTATTATAAACGAGCTAGTCATATCTGCAATCTTTGTACAGAGCAGACCCTCCGACGGGTGAGAGCACTCAACAGATAGGCGCATCGGATTGATTGAGGTACATAAAATTTCGCCTTGCACCTCGTCTCTCTCGCTCGCTCGTATAAAGGACCACTCCATAATGCACCGAAGGTGTCACTTCGTTTATGGAACACAAACGTAATCCGGCCATCTTCCACATTACAGTGTCAATGGATGAACGTGAAACAAAATGCACATGTCTATGCTGCTCACTCTCTAGTTATGCTTGAGTGCTACGATATGCATATTCATGTATCGCCTGTTGAGGACAGTGTTGCATGAGCATTGTAGATTCACAACTTTAACCCCACTTTCGTTGCCCTTGATCACACTTTATTGCCGTATAATTGTTACATTACAGCCTTGGTAGTGTCAGCTCGTCAAGCGCGTGACAAGCTTCTCAACAGATACCGATATCTTCACTGTGATTTAATTAGTGCCTTCCATGTTGATGTTTGGAAGGGAGGTCAGAGGTACGATAGAGTAGGTGATATGAGATGGATTGGACACAACCAAACTTACAATAAAACAAGGGAGCCACTAGTGACCCTTCACTTTTTGCTAATGAACCTTCACCCGATACATTAAGCAAGGAATAGGATTTGTTAAAATTTGTTGTAGAAGATCACGACTTCTGACGGTGATGTGCGTGTCGTGAAAAGGGCAACTTGCATGGATAGTGGTCCCCAAACTATCTGGACTGAATTGATCCATTTATCAGGCAATTTATACATTCATTTTGGCAGAATTTTAACTCTTAATAATACTATCCATTTTGCAGCACGGAGAAGTGGTTGAGCCTCTTCATACTTGTTGTACACTTTGGAAGTAACTTCCATTGATCTTATTTCATTTACAATATCGTACCTCTGGCCTCCCTTATAAGATTAGAGATGGAAAGCATTCACGATCAAATGATATCTGTTTGTTTCTTCGGACGGAGTTTCTCAAGCGCTTGATGAGCTGACACCAAGAAGGCTATGTTGCCTTAAGTAAATGGCCACCAAGAGTGGGTGTGATCAAGGAAAAGGTGATATTAAAGCAGTCATTCTGCAATAAATGTGCCACGCTGTCCACAACAAACAATCCTTAAACGGTTGTATTGTAGCACTCAAGATCAACTGAAAGTGAGCAGCACATAAACACAATCATCTTCAAGGGAAATCGTGAAAAACATCGGTGTTCCCCCAAAAAGCAGTGTTATGGTTAAGCAATTCGTTAGCTATATTTACTATATACCAAAAAGGTTAAGACAAGACCATGTTATATTGAACTTTAATGGAGACGTTTCTAAGATAAGCAGGACACTCCGCTTTATAAATAGACTGCAGTCTTCAGTTGCGAGACGACGGCTATTTCATGGCGCAGATGATAGCCAAGGGCGTGACGGCAAAATCTGCAGCGACGGATACTGAACCGGTGGAACATGAAGCGGTTGGAAAAGCAGCGGCACCGGACGAGACGGTGTCTGGAGAGGTGGGATTGCCTGCGTCGTCGCGTTACAGAGCGAAAAGTAATATGGCGGCACGTGGAACGAATTGGATGGGATTATCGTGTCTTTGGCTTGGACGGGATCAATCATCGCACGTTAGGGACACTGAAGCCGGTCGTGGCCAGTTCCAAGGCAATGGTTGCAAGTGTTGCGAGCGACATGCCTCTACACTAGCTCAAAGCCCGACGAATGGCGCGTCGTGGATCTCTCTGGCGATCGCTTTCGAGAATTTGTTTTTCGGATGCAAAGGAGGGGACGCATACCAAAAATCTTGGGGTTGAGAGTATTGTCGTTTCTGTCGATATCCAAAAGATAATAAATTTGTTAAACAAACGTCATTGTTTAACAAATTCATTATTTTCAATCGATTGTCTTGTGTCTATGTGGCAGCAAATAACGTGTGCACGTGGGATCCCCAGGGATTTTGAGTAATAGCCGGTGCACTTGTTGAGGTTCGCACGATCGAGGGCGAGCAGAAACTGTTTTGTTAGGAGCACCAGCGCGTATCGCGATATTGTGCGGTGGACCTTCGAAAATGGCTCAATGGACAGGTTCGTGAGTGTCTCGCATCGTTCCTTTGCCATCGTTTCGCTAGCTCGCATGTGATTGGATTCAACAACTCTTAAAAATTCCCTCGTAGAAGTCTAGAAGAATCCCGCTTGCGCTGTTAATCCAGCTTTTTATGTTTGCGTGATGCGCACCATAACTCGTTAGGTGATGATTGTGTGTCCAAAATGTTGGAATCTGTCAATGCTGAATGAAGCCCAATGGTGTCAAAGAGGGAACTTGCTCTTACCGAGGTTAGCAATTGTTTTATCACCTATGTAAAACACTTAAACATCAAATACAGATTAATATTTAGAGTAAAAGTATCGGTCAAACTAATTCTAACTTCGTGCGTAAAGCACTAACTGCAATAGCTGGGAGCTGTTGCCAAGGCTGCATCAACAAAAAACATTAAGGCGCGTATTAAAAGAATTACAGTGGTCCATGAAAGCTATCAAATCATCCTCACAATTATTCGAAAATCTATGAAGCGGATGTCAAAATCGTTCACAATATGGAGCCGACAAATTATGTAAAATGCGCGTGGCGATTTTTCAGTAACAGCCATAATGAGGCTGTTAGCAGTCGATACACAAAGATAGAAAGAGTACATACAATTAGATACAAAAACGAGAGTGTTACTGATTTCTTTATCTTCTTTTGGCCTCAAAACATCTCATCTGTAGGAGGAATCACTGAAAGAAACTCCCACAGTTGCTCGACGCAAACATGATGTCAAAATGATACTTGTACAACTTAACCGGAACATCCACTTGAATGCGTGCTTTTTAACAGAGGCCAAGGTCGCAATCGACGACGAAAATATTTAGAGCCTTAGAAAGAATCCCGTTGACCTCATTAATCATCCATAAGTGGTCGATAAATACTTATCTTTTTATGAATCCAACTGCAGCAGTCCAAGTCTGGTTTGTACATGTAAATTTGACCACGCGCAAGTTTGGGAGGCAGTAAGCATTCGGCTTGTAAGTGCAATCAATGAGAACAACCTTGTTATATCGACATGTGAATTGCACTGGATGTTGAAGTTGCCAAAAGAGATGCCGGACGCGATTGTCTTCGTCCACCACGACCGTAGCATTGATCCCTTGGTTTTCAGGTGCTCCATCAACGCCTACGCGTATTTTTTACCGCTCGTTTGCCTTTTCAACGATATTCTGTACATCACTTGCCTTGATCAGGAATTTCATTCCCTTGAAATAGCTAGCGGTGACCTAGCAAAGGAAAAATGCACAATACATTTAGTAATTGCTTTATGAGAGTAGCATGTGCACAATTCCGAAGAAAACAACAAGCATTTATGAGAGTAGCATGTGCACAATTCCGAAGAAAACAACAAGTAGTTGCTATTAAGAAATGTAAATGCACAGTACTTACCCGTGGAGTAGCTCCATCTTTATGAATCCGTAACACCATGGCGTCGACATCTTCCTCTTATCTCGTTGTACGACGAGCCGCAGGTAGTGCCGAGAGCAAGGTTATATCCATGTATCTGATGTGGCCATTGTGGCATTTATTCACAGAAAGCGTCGACCAGACGGTTTCTTACGGAGCGTTTTTGGCGTATACGATAGCAAGCTCATACAAGCATCCAACCTGTATAGTAGAATAATCTTGCAATGCCATAGGCTGATCGAGTGATCGCTTGTAGCGCTTTCCCTGTGAACAGCATAGAGAAACGCGCTTGGTGCTAACTCTATTGCTGCGGTAGATGCTGACGGCAAAGTCTTAACGTACAAAGTAATATTTGACGGCCGCTGCAGCTTCCTTCTGGCTGCCGAAGAGACCGGTCGGAATTAGCTCTTCACATCTCCACGACAAGGCTTCTTTATCTTCGGCAAAAACAGTACCATGGACACAAGCAGAAGCTGCTGCATCAGTGGTAGGAGATGGGAATCTTATCTCGATAAATAAAAGTTTGATCAAGACTGAAACCGGTGGACAGGCGGCTTACGGAAATGCAATTTTTATAATTGAGGTAAGACTAACGGGAATGCATTAATCCAATCAAAGTGAACATGATCGATCCAAGAATCCTGCAACCATCGCCACAACATTATTTAACCAGCAGTCAGTTCTCGCACCTCATTAATCCTTAGGCACATCCACGTCTTGGACACTGGTAGAAATAGCTTGGCACCAACCAAAAAACCGCCAAACCCCCAGATTGCGAGACCAGCGTAGGTCTGAACAATACTAGCAACAACAACAAACAGGAGAATACCAGCAATAGTAATAACTACAGCTGAAGGTGTTTATTCTGTTAGCCACTCAGTCATCAGTCGCATCTGTACAACACAATTTCTTTTCCTCTTACATTTTCGGCTGTGGCTTTACCCACAGCGATAGCCAGTCCCCCTTATACTTTTGTTGTATACCCAGCTTGAGTGTTATCGCTGACGTGCGTCTAGCAAAGTTGTCAAATCCCAAAATACACAACAAAAGCCCGCAACTAGCGAGTGCCGCAGTCACAGCCCGTGTGGCACATTTGACGTGGTCTTGCACAGCCTCAAATTATCTCAAGCGTCCATCGCCACCCCCCTCAGTTCTGTAGCCATGTCTTTCTATCCTTCTTCATCCTGATCGTTGCCTCCATCGACAATAAGTCCCACTGTGATGTCCGTGGGATGCTTTGTAGTAACGTACGATGATTGGTAGACGATCTCTGGAGACGGCGGGAGATATGGCCGCGAAAAGAGATGGAACAGGAGCAATATCGATGAATGCGCCGTGACAAAGTCGACATTACGCATGCACGTGTAGTGGCTGCTAAGTGTGTGCAAGGCAGTGACCAGAGCAGGCTACCAGAAAATTGGGTATGCAGTCCTTTTTAAAAGCGATGTCTCGCAAATGAAACCTGTATTCCATTTAAAAAGTGGAGCGTCCTACTTGTCTTAGCAACGATTCTACTGAAGTTCAATATCACAAGGTCTATCCTTAACCATTTTGGAATATAGCAATTTAGGCAAATGGATAGTCTAACCGTTACACAGTTTTTTTGGGCGAACACCTATGTTCTTACAGTAACTCCATCTTAAACTTGTTAATGTAAGCGTTGATCTGAATACGGTTGTACCACAATCGTGTTGATGATGTACACTTTGTGTACGCTTAAACGTCATCAAGTCGTTTGATCATAATCGTTTTGAAACGGACACAGAAAGTGGAACCTCAACAGTCGGTTATATGAAAAGGGAAATGACCCAGGCGAGACCATCGTAGTGCTTCTACGATGAATAGCTGGATGCCTGTGCAAGTTTTCTAAAAGACTAGCATACTCTCCAAGTTACCCTCTGACTACAAAATGTCTCCTCTGCTATCGAACCTCTTTGAATCGAAGTTCCGTCGTTGGGGCTATGTAGGGTGGTATTTCTTAGAAGACAAGATAGACTTGGTGTAGGGTAGGATTGTACTGACTTTAACCAAGCCGTAAAAGCCTATGTTTCAAATGTACTCAGTACAGTCTTCCCTCTGCTAAGTTATAGACTTGGTGGAAGGCAAATCCTATAACATAGCAGAGGTGTGCTGCGGAAAAATTATTAATTTAATTAATTAAAGAATCAAAAACGCAACAAACCTCCAGGCTTCCAAAACCTGTCTGTCACGTGTCACGTGCCCTATGAAGATTTTGTGATTTTGGTTGCCTTACCAGTCTCTGGTGATTTTTCTATCTTTAATTAAGAAGTTCCACCAACTGTACCTTGCTCACTCACAACAGATGTCGCAGATACGTCTTACCAACGAGCAGAAGCTGCGCATCTACAAGCACCAGGATGCTAACCCGCGCATCACCCAGACTGCCCTGGCGGCTTGGACAAAGGACGCCTTTGACCTCCAGAAGGCACTTTCCCAGGCAGCGATCAGCAAAATCATCAAAAAAAGGAAGGAGCTTGAGGCAATGGACACCACTGACCTCAGCGCTAAGCGTCCTCGGACTGTCCAGCACCCAGCTGTGGAGGAGGCCGTCGCCTTCTGGGTCTTGCAGTGCCAGCACCGTGGGGTCGCTCTCACTGGAGATCTCATACGGGCCAAGGCTCAGACCTTTGCGGGATCAATGGGCGTCTCGGAGGAAAACATCAGCTTTTCGCATGGGTGGCTCCACAAATTCCAGCAACGCCACAAACTGCGAGCTGTCCGCATTCATGACGAGAGTGGCTCAGCAGATATGGGCGCTCTAGAGGAGGATCTTCCACACCTCAAGGCCGTGGTTGCTGGTTATGCGCCACGTGACGTGTACAACATGGACGAAACTGGTTGGTCTGACTATACAGTACAGTACTGTACTCATTGTACAGTACAGAAGCATCTCTAAGGCTCCCTTTCTGTTCAGGTTTGTTCTACAGTATGACGCCCGATAAAAACGATCGCCCAGCAAGAGGTCGAAGGGTTTAAAAAAGACAAGGTACATTATTGCTCTCCTCTTGGTTTCCTGCGTTTCTCTGACACTAACAACTATTCTAGACGCGCATCACAGTTGCTCTCACGGCAAACGCTGATGGATCCGACAAACTCCCGCCGTTCTTCATTGGACACGCCAAAAAGCCGCGGTGTTTTGAGCACAAGACAGCTGAGCGACTGGGCTTTCTCTACCGCAACAACAAGAAAGCCTGGATGACTGGCATACTCTTCCAGGAATGGCTGGGAGACGTCGACAAAAGTATGAAGGTAATTTGGGGCATGCCTTGAACATCATCGTTGTGGTACAGTAAAGGAGGTTTGACTAACGCGTTGACCACAGCAAAAGGATAGAAAAATCCTGCTTCTCATGGACAACGCTCCTTCACACATTGTTTCTGACCTGGAACTCACCTACATCACGGTCCAGGTTCTTCCTCCTCATACGACTTCAAAGGTCCAACCCATGGATGCTGGGATTATTGCCGCATTCAAGAGGCACTACCGCCGGCTGCATCTGCAGAATGCCCTGGACCGTGGCGAGCGCGGAGAAAACAACCTTAACATGGTTGATCAGCTCACGGCCATGCGTTGGTCGCTGGCTGCGTGGAGCGAGATTTCCAGTGCCACAATCGCCAACTGCTTCCGTCATACGGGACTCATGGACGGTCCGGCTCTGCCAACTGGTGGGGGTGAAAACGAAGCCGGCACTGTTGGCCAGCAGGCCCAGCAGGAGGCAGCAGCTGCTGCAGTAGAGGAGCAGCGCGTGAAACAGGATCTTGTTTCGGCGCTGGAAAGGCTCCCGCTCCGCAATCCCATGTCGATCGCTTCTCTTGTCAATCCGGCTGAGGAGGAGGAGACGGCGCATGCGGAGCTGACCGATGCCGAAATCATCAAGCTTGTTGAGGATCCGTATGGGGAAGAGGAAGGTGCTGCTGAGGCGGAGGAGGAGGTGGAAATGCATTCGAAGGCTGAAAAGCTTGCCAGCCTTAGTCTATCCATCGACCTTCTCGACCTTTCTCAGGAGTCCCATCGTATAGCTCACCGGACCCTTCGCCAAGTCCAAGATGATCTCCGTAGTGCGAGCACCACTCAGGCCACACTTGATTCCTGGCTGAAGTAGTTCCCTCTTCTCTTTCCACTCCTTTCGTGCAGTCAATAACAAAAAAAAGGTTCTGCGTACAATAGTTCTGCTCACCGCGGACAAAAATATATTTCCTCTGATAAGTTGTATTTGGCCCTCAGGCTACTCCGTACAACTTATTCCGTAGTCACCATAGAACGAGGTCGGTGGAGACAGATTCCTATAACTTACCGGAGGTTATTCCGTAGCCGGGGATAACTTAGCAGAGGGAAGACTGTACTTCGCTGCCCTATGCAGCAAAAAGTGTGGATAGGCTTTGCTATGTCACCACATCGCTGTAGTAACAACAACAAGCGTGGCCAATCGGCCGAATGTTTGCGACGCCACGCAACGTGCCAGAAAGAAGCGCTTTATCAGCGATAGATCGTTCCTCCAGTTTTTTGCGTGTCCCAACGACTGTGTGTGCAGTCGCCGAAGCAAGGGCGAGGCGTGGGAACATCAGACAGCCACAATTATCATCTGGTCGACTGCTGGCACATTTGCGGCCGCACCAGCATCATATTCTAGGACAAAGCTTTACTCGCTTCGGCTATCACTAGGTCGAAAACCTGCCGAAAGGGCCTTTTCTCAATGTGGAACTGTGGATATGGCTGGCTCAGTCTTGACTGTGAGATTTGGAACTCAGAAGCCTAAGAGTACAACTTTACAATTTGACAATTTAGGTTTTTAAATGTGATAGCTTGATGTATGTAAGGAGTGAAGGCTCACCAGCGAAAACTGAAGGCTCATTGGCGCCTCCCTCATTCAAATATAAGCCACAAAAATTCGATCAGTTAACACTTTCGCGAGAATTTCAAAATCGTCCGTCCACTCCCCTCATAACTTATCGAAGGTATTCCATGTAATTATACCATTCATGTCACGTAATCGTACGTATAATCTCTCAAAGCAGCAGCTCAGCTCGTCCCTATAAAATTAGAGCTCTCTCTCATTGTGACCCATTTTCGCCAGTCATCCCAATGCTTCTTGTCCCGCGTGGCAGCGCCTTACCGACCACTATCTCGTTGCTTTTGGAGCTCTCCTGCCTCGTCTACCTCCTGCACCCATGTGCTGATGCTGATGCCTCCACCGAAGACCTTCTGCACAGTGACAACGGCTCGCTTCGACCGTCTCTAGCGCCCTCAATCGCTCCAGAGGTCCCATTTTCCAGTCCCGAATCCACTGCAGCCTCTTCCAGTACCCATTTTAGTCGTGAAAATGGGTCACAAGGTACGCTCGATCTAGTGGAGACAGCTGCCGATGTCTCAATTGATCAAGTTGAAGACCATCTGCATCTGGTTGAGCAGCTCGAACGGTCAGTGGACAAAAGTGTGCGGGAATTGGGGTCCACGGACGAGAGACTCACATACACTCGCTCGCAACTTCAAGAGAGGGAGCACGTCCGAGATGGTCTGGTGCTGGTGCAGTCGGATCTGAAGCGATTGGCTCGAGGCCTTAATCGGACGCTACTGGAGCTCGAACGTGTCGAGCAAGAAGAAGCTCTGCAGTCAAAGAAGCTTCAGGACGTGCTGGCAGTGCAAGAAGAAGAAGAGCGTGAACAGCAGCTGGAAAAGGAAGGGATCCAAGACATGGACTACGAGACGGGACATTTGAAACACACGACAGGACTTAACACGGAACAGTTGAAGAAGCTGGAAGCAGTTGAAAAGATGGCCGATCCCGCAGTGTTGCACTATGATATGGAGCTGCTGGCTCAAATTGCAGTGCTGCTCGGAGGGTCCGCGGTTGGAGGGATCGTGGCCACGTACTTTAACGTACCTCCACATGCTGGGTATCTACTGGGTGGAGCGCTCGTGGGACCGTCGTGTTTGGGATTTGTACGACGGTACAAGGAAGTGGAGACGATCTCGCTTTTTGGGTCGGTGTTTTTGCTGTTCGGACATGGAGCCGCGTATTCCCCACAAGAGCCGGAGGACGTTCTCAGGAAATATTTTGTTGGAGGTGTGGCATATATCGTGTCCACGGTGCTGCTAGTTGCTGGAGGGGCGGTCCACATTGGCTGGACGGATTCGTTTATCGAGGGACTGATCATTGGTCTAGGCGTCTGTTTTTCGACCACCGCTCCTCTGTACGAGCACATTCGAGAAAATGGGATTCAGGACTCGTCTTTTGGCCGGGTGTGTACAGCTGCGCGAGCAAATGTTATCTGGTTTTCGGCTGACGATAGTTTTGTGCTGTTTGATGTGCCTATAGACAGTGACATCCATCATTGCGATTCAAGACATTCTGATGAGCTTTGCTCTAGGCACACCTGAATGGTTTTCCGTGCGTTCAGTTGGGTGGATCGGTGTGGCCATGGTACAGACTGTAATAGCATACGCTGTGGTCGTGAGTATGACGATTTGCCTACACAAACACGTGGTGCCCAAGCTACTCCGCTTTCTGACTGCAATGGAAGAGATCCACAATTCGCCACTAGTCCTTCTTGGAGTGGTGTCTGTGTGCTTGTTCATGGCACTCTTCTCCGAGACGATTGGACTTTCGCTTGAGTGCGGGGCTTTCATGGCTGGGCTAGCTTTTGTGCACGTGTCGGGCAACGCAAAGGGGGCCTTCATGTCGATTCGAGTGATGGAAAATCTCTTTGGTAGCATGTTCTTTGCTAGCGTCGGTATGATCTTGAACCCGATGTTTTTGATCTGGAACGCTGGTGAGGTCTTGTCCATGGTGCTTTTGATCGTGTGCATCAAGACAGTGTCCATGACAGGCGTGATGACATTCTTCCGAATCGATCCGCGAAAAGCACTAATGGCTGCTGTCGGTCTCTGTCAGATTGGCGAGCTGGCACTCATTTTTATGATCAAGGCCCACGCGTCTGAGCTTGTGTCCCGCCGGACTTACTTACTCTTCGTAGCTGCTATCTCGGTCTTCCTAGCGTGCTCATCCATCTTCAACCGACGAATAGTTGTCGCTCGTCGAATGTCGCATTACCGATTGCCTTCGACAATCGAAGACAAGCTAGTGGATCAGCAACGGACTTCACGTAATCACACGGACACCGTTTGTGCAGCACAACCGAGTGATGTGTGCATAGGTTCAAGTGGAGAAGAGGATGCAAGTTTTTTACCGTCAAGGACACGACGACAGCATCTACACCGAGAACCCGTGGACCATTAGAATCTCCAATGGTTTGTAAACGTTGTCAACTCCAATGATCGGAGACTTGAAAGGTTGCCGTCAAGAGAGTTGCGTCGAGTGTTGCTTTTATTCTACCATTATGTCGCGATGATGACGTCCGTGGACTATAGCTAACGTCGACTCCATCGCCTTGGTTGGTGTGAAGATCACGCTTTTACTCTCTCGTCACGGAGTCCACATCGCTACCTTTGGCCACCTACTTGTATCGGGTATGAACTCAACATTTTCATGGGGAGACATCGCGGCCGCAAAAGTACCGTTTCACTCGTCATGCGGCTTGTGAGGTGCTGGTGGCAGTGACGGCGTTGAACTTGTTTGCGCCGGTTGACTTGCGACGCAGTGCTGGAGTGGCAACGTGGCTTGCTGGAGTAGGTACTCGAAACCGTCGCGCACACGCTCGTCCAAGAACTCGAGATGAAGCTCACGGAATCGAGTGTACACCGATAACACGCAAGCCGGATTGACGGTGCGTTTGAATGAATTTGGCAATGTCAAACCGCGCCCAGCGGAAAATGGTGCACCGTCTCCAGAAAGGATCTCGCGAACATCGTGCAGGTTAATCGAGTTATCCAAGCAACGATCCGAAGATCCAGTTGTAGGTGTTGCAATGCTCTTCAATATCGAACTTGGCGATTGCATCTGTGGCACCTTTGCCTCTGAACGCCTTATTGGCGATGACGGGGTACTGCTCGTCTCACGAAAAGAGAAGTTAGGCGTAGGCACACCGCTCGCCGTACGTTCAGTCTTCACATTACGCTCCCGGCATAGCAAACGCCACCACAAACGCTTTTCACGAATAGCGTCGGAAGTGCTGCCTATTGAGCTGTCAGTGGAAGCAGCGAGAGCACGTTGCTCCGATTTGTGCTTGACAGTAGACCGGCCAGCAACACCGCCAGTAGGAACAACTCGGTTCACTTGAGACTCGCTTGGTTGCTGGTCAGGCTGACTGGTACGCTTGTCGCGACTGGGAAACAAGTTGGTGAAGCTGCGTGCATTGTGATAGCGGAGTAGACCTCGTTTGAGCAGCTTTGGCTGCCAGCTGAGCACCTGGCCATCTCCCGACAAGCGAAGTTTAGTGCGATGGGGAAGACCGTTGCGACCATATTTTACCACCTTGAAACCATTCCTGACGAGTTGCTTGCGGATTGCCGAAGCTGTTCGCTGTCGCTGAGTAAGATCGGCAAGATGACAACGCTCTCGATCTTCTTGTCGTGTGCGCTTCGACGCCTCTTTTCCTGCTTGGATCCATGGATGTGTTTGAAGAAGCGCCATCGAGGGTCTCGCTCTCGGGTCTGCGTCCAGCATCTTGGAAACGAGCGTCTTGACATCAGGATGAATCGAAGCCCAGTCCTTAACCGGGTACTTCACATTGAACCGGTGCTTACGTAAATGGACAAGCTTCATGGGAAATGGCGGGTAGCCGCACAGCATAACGTACATCACGACACCGAGTGAGAACACGTCAGCTTCAAGGCCATACGGCTGGCCGTCCAAGATCTCCGGTGCTGCGTAACCCGGCGTACCGCATGAATCGGAGACCTGCTCTTCTGAGTGAGCAAGCTGCCTAGCAAAGCCAAAGTCACCGAGTTTCACGTCGTCATTCAGGAACAGCACGTTTTCCGGTTTCACGTCGCGGTGGATAATATTGTGCGTGTGGCAGTACAGCAGCGCCTCCACTAACGCCGCCGTCACCTTTTGAGCCTCGCGTTCCGGGAACTTGCCCTGCTTGACGATGCGGTCGAATAAATCGCCGCCATCAGCTAGTTCCGTCACCATGTAGCACTTGACATCGTCTTGGATAACTTCGTACAAGCGCATGATGTTCACGTGGTTGACACTGGACAGGACACGCACTTCATGTGAGAGTGCTGTGCGGTCTGCAGCCGAGAGACTCGACTTGTCCACGATCTTGCAAGCATAGACCCCGCCTTTCGCGCGGCGCGTCACCTGCTCTACGGTCGAGTACGAGCCTTGGCCCAAATGTTTCGTGACGGTATAGCGCTGGTGAAAATCAAGTGAGCTCTTGTCACCCTTGCGGGTTATCACCTTTGGTAGCACTGCGGGTCCGGCTGGCGACAAAGCTTCTGTCGGTGCACGTGTTGACGAATCTACTCCGGTAACAAGCAGGGGATCAAAGGACAACCTAGTCGTGCTGCTATCTTTACCGCTGCAATGACGTTGTCGAGGTCGAGTCGCACACTTCTCGATATCGTTTCGGCTACCAAGACACGCCAAGATGTTCGCAGAAGCAAGAGCTTTCGCGTCTTTGGAGTCTTCTTGATCCTCACTTCTGCTTTCGATCTGTTCGTTCAATTGGAAAGCACACGAAACGGTTGTCAGACACCATGAGACTTCACACACGACAAACGATTGCTCTCGCCTACGTTCGCCACTACATCCGCTTTCGAGACAGCGGTGGTGCCAGCTTGGAATTTGGACATCTCCATCGTGTCAATGGATAGTTGAGCCAGTTCTTCCGACGGAACCTGCACACCAGTCCCTTTGTCGTCCAGCTCTCTATCGCTGTCACAGCTACAGCGTGTACTGCTCTTTCTAGCGTGTTGACTAGTCACAATCGATGGTGCCATGGATGCGACCCGACACTCCGACGGATATGGCCAACCCGAAACTTGTTGCCCTTCTATTCGTCCAGGTGAGATGTCTCGACACACTGCAGCACAGGACAAAGCTTCAGACTCGGCTCCGATGCACCGTGTAACTGACATACCCGCCTTTCGTGTATGCAAACGGACTTGAGTCAATGCTTACAGTTCGAAGAGAGCTGCTGAAAAGTGACCCAAGCGGAGTGAAAGCGAATGCGTGACGGAAGGCAGACGGTCGCTGCGTTTTATAATCTTGTGGCAGTTCTTGGACGCGTTAAGTGTGCGATGCTACAGACGAAATCGTGGGTAGCCTCACGCGTCTCACGAAAGTGGATGTAACAGGCAGGCATCGGACTGAACTGCATCGAATCTAGACTGAACGCCTCTACGAAGCCGTTGCAGTGGACGACGTTTCACATGTCATGCGTCGGTAGATGGGTCTGCCCTTGGCTTGTAGTAACCGGCATGAGGCTACTGCAGGCATCACGTTACCTCAGGCTTCGAGCTCTTTTGAATCGACTGAGCTAGCCACAGCAGCCATCCTCGCGATAAGATCCAAGTCGTTGGCAAGAGCGCTATTCAGCAACTCAGATGGAAAGCTATGCACGCTGAGGTCGTTGAAGGCTGCCTCATAGCACGCAAAGTTCTCGTGCTGCTTGGCAACTCCACACGGCAGCGGCACTTCTTCTAGGTAAGGCACCACCTTCTCGAGTAAGAGCTCTCGACGCTCTTCAGCTGCAAGCACGCGGTCTCCGTACGCTGAAAAACTGGTTCCACAAGCACAAGAATGCAAGTGAGCGCTGGCGTCGGCACTTCACAACGCTTTCGTCTGCCTCACGCACCTGTTACCGATGATCACGAGCTGCTTGGCAGCAAGACCCCAGTTGCAAGCAAGGACGTTCTCGTACAACACCTTTGCACAATGAGGCATGAAGAAGACCGTGTTGCAAACCACTTTTCGTCGTCCATGTTCATTTTCCTGGATCACTGTCATCCCGAGCTGCTCGGCAATAACAGCGTCACTCTACGTGACAAGCAAGAACAGACACGACAAGAGGTCACAGCATCGACGTTACATTCGGTCGAGGGTAGAAAGATGGCACCTCCTGCTGCACGGTATCAAACCTTGTTCATGACTGGGTCAAAGAGCTCAACTGCTGGCTGAATCCCGTCGGGTTTTGCAGCATCTTTCGCGTCGGCGGTCAGTCTCCATCCGTTGTCGAGCGCTTGCTTCAACGCGACGAGGAACCCTAACTGGTGCACTGCATTGGACGACGCGCAGAAGCTTCCGAGTCCATAGCCAACGACCACCAGTCGCTCATCTTCCGCGTCTTTGTCAAGTGACGTGCATGCTTCTGTCAAGTGGAACTGCTTGACGATCGCACGCAGCGCGTCCTTGAGGAGCGCCGAATCTCTCAAACTCTCGTTGGCAATTGCACGTACGCGCTGAACAATTTGCAGCTGCTTTGCAGTCGATACCTCGGCCAGAGGCGCCCCCACCTCTTCATCCACTGCACCAACCAAACAAAGAACCACGACCAAACGTAAGGTCCGGTATCAACAACTGGATCAACGAGACGTGGACTGGATCAGCACTAGCCAAGTTGATCCCGACCGCTACGGACCAGTCATTGCTGCCTCAGACAGGTTGAAGACGTCACGCCAATTCGTCATCGATAGCGACTTCCAAGTCCATTGGTCGGTCGAGTCTACGCACCTTTGGGAACCGCCTTTGACTGCGAGTGCAAAGAAGAAGAAGAAAACTGACGGCGACGTCGACGACGCGAAACCTGCTGCCACTCGTGCTCCATCTGGTCTTTGCGATCGATTGACCGATTGGTCGATCGATTGTCGTGTAGCTCTTGAGGTTGCTATTGGACCACCGATTTCATCGCACTTGAGTCGAGAGACCCCGAGTCCTCCTCCTGTTGTTGACGCCTTGTCCTGTTGCATTGGAATCATGTACGAAAGCACTCGTGACTTCTAGCTAGTGGGTATCAAGGTGTTGCACAAGCACATGGAGCTTCTACTATTATTAGCTTCGTCTGAGACCTAAATTGGTTGCGCACGAAACGGACGGTTTACGAAGAGCTGCGTGAGCACCTACCACTTGGTCGAAGAGGTCGATCCGTTCCTGTTCGTGCACCACGTCTCCCTTTGTTCAGAGTCGGCTTGTCCGTCCAAGCAATGCACAAGTTGTGTACCTGTTATCGACGATCGATCTCCGTTACGCGAGTCCATTTGTCTTGTTGGTATCCACATACACACGGCGGTCCTGGTCTATCAAGTGACGCACAATCACGACGATGGAGGAAACGGAAACAGCTCCAAGGATTCCGACGCCTGCAGGCGCTTTTGTGTGACAATTTGGTCCTCAATGGTCGACAAAGTTCCATCCAAACAAGAGTTTGCCAACATCTGAACGTCCGTCACGGCGTCCGAGCAACAACCGGCATGAGATATACCGTCTTGGTTTTCTACCAAGTGCTGGCTTACGGCCGTCTGACGTCTCTTCAGTCCCGGACGCACGCCATGAAGCAGTTCCCTGAGCAATTCCCCGACCCACAAAGAGACTCCCGCGTTCGCACTTTCGACCGCCATCATCGTCACTTCGCCCTCGACTGGAATGAGGCTCACCTCATCGCTCTGTCCGAGAAAACTCGAGCTCAACTCGGTGGACTCCTCGAACTGTCTGACCACAACGTCAGCCAAGAGACAACAAGGAACTAGGCGGACCGACCGACCAACCAACGAATCTCTTCGCTCTAACAACCAACATCTTCTTACGCCATGATCCCTCCATCAGATAGATAGTTTAGAATACCCGATTAATCTTCTCTACGTGCTGTTTCAATGACGATATTTCGTCGCTATCAAGTCGCTAGTAATCGATCGAGGTCGTCGACGGCACCTTTTCCCTGAAACTGCTGCTGCTGCTTCTTCTTCTTCTTCTTGTGAGGATTGCAAGAACTCAGTAACCAACTCCACAAAAATCGATAAATGAACGAGCGAACGCATGAACGAATGAATGAATGAATGACTGTATTTGAGTGTGTCTTTTGTTGCACTCGGCCATCGCCCGATCGTTTTGACGCGCCGACCTCCTCCTCTACAAGCATAAGTATCACTATTCCCCTCCCGCGTTCGAAAGCCCAGCAGAACCCTCTCCTCGTCCGTCATTTGCCATTCAGCTGCTGAACCGCCAGCAGCTCCTCAAAGCGACAAGCAGCAGCAGCAGCAGCTCCCGCTCACGTCTTCCAGCGCTTCGACCACACGGACTACGTCTCTCTCTCTCTGCATCTTTCTTCCCCCCCTTCCCAATCGCCCCAACGCGTCATCAACCGCTTCAAATGCCCTCGTCGTCGTCGTCGTCTCGGTACGGAACCAACTCGTCGTGCGCTTCTTCCTTGTGCCTCGACATCGTGTGCTTTTTATCCGTTCCTTTGCCTTTGCCTACTCTACTATCGACAGAATCAGACCAGACCGCCTTGTCCTCATGCTCTTTTTTCTGTTCACTTGTTCTCTCGTTCATGTGCTGCTGTAGCATCCCAGGTCCAAGCAGTCACAAGACGAAAGCAGCAGCAGCAGCAGCTGCCGTCGCCGCAACCAGCTTGTCGTCCGTGTCGTCGTCTTTTGGGACGCCTTCTAGAGCACCATTTGCTCGTGGCCTTGCTCAGGGGTCGGGACTTGCTGTGCCACGGACTCCTGCAGGACTGGGTACGAAATCTCCAGCTCAACTCCAGCGGCCGTTCAAGAGACTGCAGTTTCGGGCCAGTCAGTCGACGGATACGGACGAACTTGAGACACAAGAAGCTCCTAGCTACTCAACGATCCAAAGCCGGACGCAGACGCCTGTAACGACACCACGGTCAATGCCGATGAGCAATGGGCGGGAACGTTTGACTGCTGCTTCGAGTTTTGTGCTGTCGACGGAGGCAACTGCTCCGTCGGATAAGAACATCCGCGTGCTGCTTCGGATTCGACCGTCTCCAGGGAAGGAGGTCCGCAAATGTATCGACGTGGCTCCTGATCAACGCGGAGTGACGCTGGCGCCCGCGTCGCAACAGGAAAAGCGATTCGGCTTTGACCGCGTGTTCACGGAGAGTTGTGAGCAAGACGATATTTTCGAAGACGCGGGTCGAGCGGCTGTGGAGAATACTATCAAGGGGTACAATGGCAGCATCTTCGCGTACGGACAGACTGGATCGGGCAAGACGTTCACCATGTTGGGTGGCGCGACGGCTGATGTCCAGACGTTGAGACTGTCACCGCTGCGTGGCCTCACGCCACGTATTGTCGACTATTTGTTCGAGCGACTTGCAGCGTTATCTCGAGAACGGAATGATGCGTTTGATCGTGGCGAGGAAATGGAGAGTGCACTGCAGTACAAACTGTCTTGTTCGTACTTGGAGATTTACAATGAAAAGGTGTTCGATCTTCTTGAACCTAGTGGCTCAATCGCGGCACAGCAGCCTAAAAGCCTTCGTGAAGACCGCACGAAGGAAGTGTACGTGGACCAGCTGCGTGAGATTAGCGTGGGAAGTGAAGAAGAAGCGCTAACGCTGCTGCAGCTGGGCTCGCAAAACCGTCATATTTCGTCAACCGACATGAATCGCGAGAGTTCGCGGTCTCACGCAGTGTTTTCGATCAAACTCGTGCTGGAGGAGCGTACGTCAGCTGGCGTGAAACGAACGCGCCGTTCGTGTTTGCACTTGGTGGATTTGGCAGGTAGTGAGAAGCAGCGACAAACTCGAGTCCACGGCAAGCGATTGAAGGAGGCAGCACAAATAAACAAGTCTTTGTCGGCACTCGGCAACGTGATCATGGCGCTAGTGGATGTGAGCAATGGTCAAAAGAGGCACGTGCATTACCGTGACTCGAAGCTTACGTTTCTTTTGCGCGACGCCTTAGGAGGCAATGCAATAACGAGTATCGTTGCCACTATATCACCGGAAGAGAAGTACTTTACTGAAACTCTAAGCACGCTGAAGTTCGCTCAGCGTGCCAAGTTTATCAAGAATAAGGCTGTACAGAACGAGGATGATGACTCACTCGTGCCCGTGCTTAAGCAGCAAATCGAAAAGCTGGTTCAAGAAATCGCATTCTTGCGCAGCAGTGCTGGTAATCCTGAATCAAATCTTGAAGCCAATTTCTCTGAAACGGATTCTAGTAAAGACGAGCTTGTGATGCAAGCGAAAGCACTCGTCGAGCTTGAAGCACAAGCTCGGGCTCAGGAGAAGAAGAAACAAAATCGATGGGAGCCAGCTTTGGACATGATGCAAAAGCTGTTGCGTGCAAGCGGGGCAATGGCGCCTACAGGCAATGCTGATGGAGAGGTAGGTGAGCCGCAACAGCAAGATCGAGATGTTGTGGAAGCTCGTTGTGACCGGCTTGAGATGCTACTTTATCGTATGATTTGCCGGTTTGAAGAATACAAGGAGGTCGCGTTTGATCCTGATCGGTACAAGTTTAGTCGCCATTCATCGCGATCGAAGCCAAGCAAGCTTCCAGGTGTACGAATGTCGATGCTCCCTGCGCCTAAGCGATATGGAAGTGCTGTTGTTCGCCAGTATAATCGAGATAACCAGGAGCAGTTGGCGGATCATGATGACAGTGTTGCTTCGCTTGTAGCGGCTGAAAAGCGGGAACGCAACTTGCAGAAGAAAGTGCAAGATCAGCAAGATCGTATCGAGGAACTACTGCGTCGATCTCGAGAGGCCGAAGCCGAGAATGACCTTATCCGTCATGAACTTTGTGAGCTACTTGAGTGGAAAGCCTTTGTTGAAGAAGAACGGCGCCACACTAGCGATGTTGGGCCAGTGGAGCCTCACCGGTACGGCCAAACAGATAAGCCGGCGCCACCAATTTTTGGAGCATCGACACTACCGAGCGAGGAAAAGCAGAGTACGCAGGAAATGCTGAATGCGTACCGGTCACTTTTCGACGAAGTCACGGAATTGATGTACACGAAGAAGCCGGTACTTTGCAGTCCTGGCAGTCCGAAGTCTGGTTCGTCCGTTATTACGGACTCAAATTCTACCTGTTACGCTTCAGGTGATGAGGATGACACTGGCGATGACTGCATGTCGATGGACGGATTTGATACGAGCGAAGATGGTGATAGAGGTGTCAGTGACATCTATCGTGAGATTCGCCGCGTAAATGCTCTCAGCTCGCGCCTCGGCCGGAAACTTGACCTTTACCAGGACACGATTCAGCGCCTGGAAAAGGATTTGCAAACGACACAAGATGACCTAGAGACCTCGAGCGCCGCGACAAAATTTGCCGAGTTCCAACTTGAACAGCTACGTACATTGGCAGCCGATGAAGAAGCTAAGCAGAATCAGGTGGAGTATGAACAACAGAAAAAGCTTGTAGACCACAACGCAGCTGAAGACACGCTTGCTAATCACGAGCGTGAAGACGGAGCGGAACGGCAAGCGGTATAAATCTGAAGCTCGTTCGTTGCGACAGCAGCAACTGCGAAGATACTGTCGGCTTTGGAGAGATCATGATAATGGACAGATGTAAAGCGTACTGCAGCCTACCAGCACAGTATGGAAGATTCAGATCAAGACGCAGGCAGCAAGCGAGCCAGGAGCAGCAGCTACGAGTTTGTCGACAACTTCATCGTCCTCGACAATCCGCTTGATGCGATTTCGACGCACCTCTACGAGCAAAAAACGGTTTCCACCTGCGCGCCCATACACCTGTGCAATGCGGTCGCACAATGCACCTGCCTGACTTCCTCGGTGAAGCCAATAACCACGCTGCTCCGCTTGGAGTGCAACTTCTGGATCGTGTTTATCATCAGTACCACCCGGTAATCTTCGCGCTTGTAACAGCACGCTTACCTCCACACGGACGAAATTCGATTCTGGGATGGGAAGACTGAAGAACAGATTCGGATCGAATGTACACTTGCGCTCGCAACACGTACCACAGACAGTCTCGCTACGCATTTGACCGTGGAACAGGTCGACCACGACGGAAGAGTTGGTGCTCGTGTACGCACGCCAAGCTGCATCACCATGAGCCTCGTCTGAAGACGTGTGCATGATCTCATCATAAGCCTGGGAGTTTTCGTCATCATTGTCATCACTTTCCACCATGTCTTCCCCTGTCAGTGCGCCGAAACTGAAACACTTCGAGCTTCTTGCTTGTATCGAGTCGTCAGCAGACGCTGGCAAGGCGCGAAAACTCTGGTTCAGGTCCTCGTGCAGACAGTCGAGAAGAGCAACCATAAATTCGTGAGCATCGTACTGGCGCATCTCTTCGAAGTGGCGGCAAACTCGTGTGAATTCGTCTCGAAACCGACTGGGACGCAGATACCCGCGGTCACGTTGGCGCCAGAGAGCACTCTGAAGTTGCGCAAATGCTACGGCAATGGCACCCCGACTACCAAGACGATTCTTCTTGTTCACCTCTGGTTCGAATCGATTCGACAAGAAGTACTCACGGAACACCGGCGAGTGAACGAAGCATTGGAGGGCACTATTCATGAAGCAGGTGTTCCCCATGTTGATGAGTCTCGTGGCTCGAAGACCGACTTGTGCAACCAACCTCGCGGGAGACGTTCTTGTTGTTGCTTTCATTCGCTTGGCGAGACCGACAAGAACACCACCAGGACTTCAGGACCGCACATTGACGAAGCCACAGATGCCGAAGGTAGACAATGGGTAGACCCTCCGACGCACTGGATCGAGTGCCAGAAGTTTACCTGGAACGTTTGGGTACATCGCGTGAGTTCAACCGCGAGCGACATGATGACGATCCCCTGCGTGCAGCTACTACCTTCAGTGTCGGTGGCAGCCGTAAGAGACAAGCAGGACTTGGAGTAATTGGAGGAGAAGGGCAAGAGCGATGAGTTGACTCGATGAAGGTGAGAAACCGCAATCCTGCAGCTGCAGCAGAATCGAGCAGGCGACTTGATCACTGATTTGGAGTCAAGACGCTGACGTACGTTGCTATCCATCAGCCTCGAGCTCGCAAACGAATGGCCGCACGGCTTGATGCGGCACTTGACGAATTGGTCCGAATGTCGATACCGAAAGTACGACGAATTTTGCTGCGACGTTGAGGCGTCAAGGACGGGGTGAGCGTGCGCCACGAACAGCAAGGAACGTGTACTTCCCCAATAAATAGATGGGATTGTGCAGAGTTAACTGCTCTGCTTTCATCCAGCGCACACACAGGTTCAACCTACTTCAATCTCGCACGGCACCAGGTTCGGTCGATGTGCACCCAACTTCACATCGACTCGTACTTGCGGCTCTTGCTCGATACGGCCAAGCAAAGACAAGACTTAATCAGCACTTCCACCGCCTGTAACGTCAAAGCGCATACCGAAGTACATTGTAGGACGACAGCGTCCGGCGTTTGTAAAACAGCACGTAAGCAGCGTCCGTAACGACGTCACCCGCTGCGATCTCAGACACCTTCTCATCATCAAAGCGAAACCACAAGTCGGAGCATTGAACATCGGCATCGTCTTCATTTTCGTTGAACAGTATTGCACTCTCGGGGAAGTCCGCATCATAGCGGCAGTATGCTGTGTAATGACCTCGCGTAAGTCCACCGACGTGATTAGCTACTGCATACAAGTCATAGACTGACGACTCTGCATGGTCTTGGCGGCTCATCCACTGGGAAAAGTCGAGACCCTTTAGTGGGAAATCGACGAGTGCTCGCACCTTCCGTTTGTGCTGATTCTCAAGGTACTGAAATCGCTTCAGTTGGATCATCACGAGGTCAGGCAGCCGCCAAATGCCGGATAACCGCGTGCCTTCGCGAGGAACGCCGCACTGTTCGCAGATCCAGTGGTCATCAAGCGAGATGGCCTCTTCGCGCATCAACGCGTCCATACACTTCGTCAACGGGATCGCGTAACTGGGCGGACGATCGTCGTCCTCTACTGGTGCGCCGTCTGGAGTGTTTCCGGTCTTTTGTTGGCCAGGAAACGGACTGGTTTCAAGGTCGGCACGCAAGTCTGGATCCACGCTAGCTGCCTCCATCACTTCTGATGGAGCATCATCGGGTACGCGTACTTCGTGGCTACGAAAGTCGAGGTTGTTGGTCCAGTCTAGCGCGAGAACAGTACGCGCAGAAAAATGCGGCAGCAGTGCACTAGAGTCAACGGGCAGAAGCTCCCCACGCTCACTGGTCAAGTTGTCCAGATTCACGATTCGGACCTCGTATGGCAGCTTGGTTTCCTCGACCCTTTCGTCAATGCAGTTGCCAATAGGCCTGAACTCGCTTCCGAAACTTCGCCAGAAGCGAGCAGTCTGCAGTAAAAGAGCCTGATGCATCTCTTGTGCGGTTCTGTCGGACGCGATTGTCACGAACAAAGGAGTGCCGAACACGTTTACGATCGGTCGCCCGTGTGTGGACAAGCTGCCGATCGTTTGTGAACTGGCAACAGTGGCTGGAAGCGGGTGACCGTCGCCACTTGTCTGTCCTGACTCGGGCACGCCAACCAAAGAGACCGGGGAAACGTGCCGGTGTACCACTTGCACTTCAAATACTTCTGTCACTCTGGATGCCCGTGAGTCCAACGGCTGAAGTCGTTTCGCATTCCAGTCGCGGGCTGTAAACCACTTGTTCCACTTGCTGCTAAATGCATCGAAGTGGACGTACACGCGCTGAGAGTGCTTCGTAGAAACGCACTGTTCTTCGACATCAGCACTGCCGACGACATCGATCACGGTGCCTGAATGCCAGTCATTACGATTGTCTCTTGCGTCAACACGAGAACCCACGCGAAGGTCGGAAAAGCTCGTGATCCTTTCAGGAGCAAGTGCATCTGCATAACCTCCACCGAGTATATACGTGCCGTAATACTCGCTTATTGCAGATGGTACACTGGGAACCTCGGCAAGAGTCCACGCACGCTCATAGGCAGCAAGCGAGCCAGGAGCAGCAGCTACGAGTTTGTCGACAACTTCATCGTCCTCGACAATCCGCTTGATGCGATTTCGACGCACCTCTACGAGCAAAAAACGGTTTCCACTTGCGCGCCCATACACCTGTGCAATGCGATCGCACAATGCACCTGTCTGACTTCCTCGGTGAAGCCAATAACCACGCTGCTCCGCTTGGAGTGCAACTTCTGGATCGTGTTTATCATCAGTACCACCCGGTAATTTCCACGCTTGTAACAGCACGCTTACCTCCACACGGACGAAATTCGATTCTGGGATGGGAAGACTGAAGAACAGATTCGGATCGAATGTACACTTGCGCTCGCAACACGTACCACAGACAGTCTCGCTACGCATTTGACCGTGGAACAGGTCGACCACGACGGAAGAGTTGGTGCTCGTGTACGCACGCCAAGCTGCATCACCATGAGCCTCGTCTGAAGACGTGTGCATGATCTCATCATAAGCCTGGGAGTTTTCGTCATCATTGTCATCACTTTCCACCATGTCTTCCCCTGTCAGTGCGCCGAAACTGAAACACTTCGAGCTTCTTGCTTGTATCGAGTCGTCAGCAGACGCTGGCAAGGCGCGAAAACTCTGGTTCAGGTCCTCGTGCAGACAGTCGAGAAGAGCAACCATAAATTCGTGAGCATCGTACTGGCGCATCTCTTCGAAGTGGCGGCAAACTCGTGTGAATTCGTCTCGAAACCGACTGGGACGCAGATACCCGCGGTCACGCTCGCGCCAGAGAGCACTCTGAAGTTGCGCAAATGCTACGGCAATGGCACCCCGACTACCAAGACGATTCTTCTTGTTCACCTCTGGTTCGAATCGATTCGACAAGAAGTACTCACGGAACACCGGCGAGTGAACGAAGCATTGGAGGGCACTATTCATGAAGCAGGTGTTCCCCATGTTGATGAGTCCCGTGGCTCGAAGACCGACTTGTGCAACCAACCTCGCGGGAGACGTTCTTGTCGTTGCTTTCATTTGCTTGGCGAGACCGACAAGTACACCACCAGGACCGACGTGTGCGGATACTGGCGATCTACTAGTAGCAGCTTCCTGTTCGGCAGCCATGCTGTTGCGCAAGAGTCTCCAATCACCAGTTCTAGTAAACGCGGCACGACTTGTGCGCGGACAGCAGACAAAGTCATTGCCCACAGGTTGTAGCATAGTAACGTTAAAAGGCGTCCGGGGAAGCATAGCGGCTAAGCTGACCAGTCGGTGTTGCTGTGCGATACTGTGTGGTTCGATATCAACATCCATTGCTCGGAAGTCCACAAGTAGTTCTTGAGCACTTGTGATGTGCAACCCTTTCAAAGTAGCTTCGGGGGATTCAAAATTACATTCAAGTGGCTCCCAAGCTTGGAGACGACGGCGACGCAGCCATAGCGACACTTCTTTTGCGTTAATGCCTGGAAAAATGCCCATCCGGTGCATAATCTCCTTCATTGAAGAAGCGTGGTGCAGAAGGAACCGCCGAGCGTATACTAGGTACACATGTCGTGAATCGTGTCGCGCCAGGCGAACCTGTAGCGTCACCGGGTACAGCTCCACGTTGACTTGCTGCTGGTGTTGACCTCCTTTAGACGTCAATGTCACACTAACACCGTCACACTCCTGGCTCTCATCCTTTCTTAAAAGCGACTCTTGCTGTTCGCTAGATGAACGGACCTCTCCAATCCGTCGAGGATAGCTGGGTCCGCCTCCGTAGGCTAGCAGAAGTCGCTTCCATACACCACCAGACACGAGAACAAAGTCCCGTCCCCCCACAAGACCCCGTCGTAAGGTTCCCAACTGTTCGCTTGCACAAATATCTCGATTCACAATGGGCCCAGGACGACAGCAATTCGCTGGCCTACTTCCACTCTGTCGCTGTCGCGTATTCTTCTCCTGTTCCTGCTCTTGCTCCTTCATCGGCTGGTCTCTAGCTTCCTGTTCCAATCGAAGGTTGTCAACCTTCTGATCCAACAGTTCTGGCTGCAGCAAAGCGTGCCAGTTTCCTCCTGACCGGGCGTATTGCTGCCACTGCATCCACCAGCGACTCGACACGACGTACGCCGTCATGCCTGTTCGCCACTGCATCTGATCGTCCACCTCGTGCAAGAGCTTCTCGTCCTCAAACACTGCATTTACCACATCAAAAGGCGCAAGCAGCACATGCAGCACTTGCGCCCCCACTGCACAGTCCATTGTCTTACAAAAATCCGCTTCCGTCACATACTGCGGTCGTCCATCAAGCAGCACCAACTGCATCAGCCACGCCCCAATATCCTCAGCATCGAGCCCAGCACTGTCCTTATCGTCTACACCATCTTCCGTCAATACGCTCATATCTCCAGCTAATTCCACGACCGTCGCAGCCAGCAACTGGATGTCGGCACGGGTCAATCCGGCACTACTATGATCCCTTTTGAACCACGTGAACACCAACGCCGCCGTCTCGCGCACGGACGAGGCGCACGCGCGCTTCACACTCGCCAGCATCTCACAGAGCTCTTCAAACTCGATTTTGCCGCTTCGGTTCGCGTCAAACGCCTGGAACAACGCGCGCTGGGCGGCTTTTGACGTCCGGTCCAGTGCTGGAAAGAGCCGTCCGAACTGCCGTCGCGTCTGGAGCTGAAGCCGCGAGTCGGCGCGCTGGCAAAAGTTCAAGCGCTTGTTGTGCACGAGCGCCGCATCCAGACAAAACGGCAGCGTCGGCTGCTGCTCCGAGTCGTCAGGAGTCTGGACCGACGACGGCGTCGCGGACGTGGACGTCGAGCTGGAACTTCCCGCGCTGCCGGCGCCCATGCAATGCCATTCGTCGCCGCACGCGGTGCGATGAGCAGCCACGGCAGGGAGCTCGGTGTGCGACGCAGCGGGCGTCTTGTTGACTGCAACGTGGACGAGTTCTCGCAGCGCGTAGAGCTCCGGCAGACTCCACGAGTCGAGCAGATGGACGCGACGGGCTTGCGCTTGCTGGGCAGCGGTTCTGGATGCGTGAGTGGCGTGGGTGGGCGCGCTGGGACCTGCTGGATGGTGATGGTGCTGATGGCTACGCGAGAAGAAGCGGCGGAGGGAGCTGCTGTGGCTGTGCGGAGAGGACGCCGGCGAGCGCATCGGACCGACGGACGGCTCGATTACGGTTATGAACGACGAGGGGATGGATATTCCTGACTGGAATTGTTTCGCTCGTGGGGACTTGCGACTTTAGGAGGAAGTGTGCGGAGAGCGTTAAATCTGGCACTTTGGCTTCGAATTTGTGGCACTCTGGTCGTTAGCCCTGGCGAGCGCCCAGAGCCGATGGGGCTGCAAAAGAAGCGGTTGATGGTGAGTCTCTTTTCGCTCTTTGTTTCGCTATGAGTGCGAAGCGAAATACTTGCCCCATCATGACACGCGGATTGAGCGGGTGAGAGCAAACTGAACATATACATCCCGAGCCTGTTGATCAGTGCCATGGATTGTAGAAATAGAGCAGTGAATAGATTATTGCAGAAAATAGAGCTGCTGTCGCGGCTGCCTGTGGCCGATGTAAGCCCAGCTGCCGAGCGAAACCATCGACCGCTGACGTTCGTTGGATGGTCGGTACAAAAGCGAAGGCCCAGAACATGGCCGTGTCTGCACCTCCCACGATCTGCCGCCACACATGATTATGAAATGCATTATGCCACTATGGCCTGTCGTTGCGGCCTGGATAGTGCACTCAAGGGTTGATATCCAGACCGTAATCAAATGTCGTGTCTTTGCCTTCGCCGGCTCTTCTATACGGTTCTCGCGCAATTATGTGAGAGACTCAGACTGTCTATTTGAGCCACTTATCACTGATAAGATGTCTGGTGGTGTGGCAACCACCTCGTGCCATCTACCATGACACAGTCTTTTTTGACTTTTGGCAACAGCCAAGAGCGAGTTGAGGTGGGAGAGCTTAGAAGAAGGTAAAATGGAAAGTGAATTATCATCTAGCTAGGTCCTTAGTTCGTCTCGTTGTACTACTCTAAGCCTATCGATATCGACTCTATAATATTAGTAACAAAACGATGAGTCGATCCCATCGTTACACACTATCACACAGTGTCGTCCATGACATATGGTCATTAGTATCAGTAACCAACACCGTTACCAATACTCCCCCTCGACTAGAAGTCTCTGATCCTGGCCTTGTCCAGCAGCGACTCGAACTTCTTTGTCGAAATCGGTTTGGTCAGAAAATCTGCCAGCTGTGACTTGGTTTCAGTATACTGCAGGTCGATAATCTTGTCTTTCACCTGTTCGCGCACAAAATGGTATCTGATGTCGATATGTTTCGCTCGACTTTGATAGCCGTCGTTCTTAGCGATAGCGATTGCACTCTGGTTGTCTTCGTGAATCTTGACAGCATAGTTAATCTGCACTTGCATCTCCTTGAGTAGACTTCTTGTCCACAGAACCTCCTGCACACATAAAGAAAGAGCCATATACTCTGCTTCTGCCGTGCTCAGTGCCACGCTCTGCTGCATCTTCGACTTGAAAATCACAGGTGCGCCATTAATCATGATAAAAACTCCCGAAATCGATCTGCGATTCCACTTGTTACTTGCCCAGTCTGCATCGGTGTACGCGCTCAGCTGAAGATTGCCTGAAACTCCTTCATAACAAATTCCTTTGCTCTGCGTCGTCTTCAGATATCGCAACACTCGAATCGCTGCATTCCAGTGCTCTTCATGTGGAAATTCCAAATGACGACTCAGCTGACATACTGTATACGCAATATCTGGTCGTGTGCCTGTTGCCACATACAACAACGACCCCACTAACGATCGATACGGTCGATTCTTCATTCTTGTGTCAGCTTTGTCCATCTTGACCATCGCTTGCCCTTCAACACTTGGATTTGACACTGCTTTCGCATCAACTTGATTAAATTTCTCGACCATTCTTGATATACACGATCCTTGACTGATCTTCAGACGTCGATTGTTGCGCAGGTACTTGACTTCGATTCCAAGAACGTATCGAACACCCCCTAGTATCTTCAACTGGAAACGACTTGATAGTTGAGCTGCCACATCTTCCATCACTCCAGTAGATTCAGCCCCAATTAGAAGGTCGTCCACATATAATGCAGCGTAAATCCACGAGCCCTTGGTCTCTTTGACGAAAATGCATGAGTCTGCCACGCATGAAGAGAACCCCATCTCCACAAACACACACGAAATTGTCTTGTACCATGTAGCGGCCGCTTGTTTCAGCCCATACAGACTGCGATTCAGCTTAAGCACTTGATTATGTTCTGCACGAACACCCAGAGGAGGGTATACGTATACCTCTTCTTCCAAAACGCCATACAGAAAAGCAGTGTCGACATCATATTGATGAATCAACATCCCCTTTTGACAGCACACCGCCAAAAACACCCGTATTGAGTTGAGGTTTGCCACAGGTGAATATGTCTCCATGTAGTCAACTCCATACGTCTGCCTGTAGCCAAGTGCTACAAGACGTGCCTTGTATCGAATAATCTCACCCAGCTCGTTTCGTTTGAGTGCGAACACCCACTTGGTTCCAATCACTTTCTGGTTTGGACGCTGTGTTTGAACAGTCCAGGTGTCCTTTTCCTCTAATGCCTTGAGCTCAGCTTGAATGGCCTTGTACCAATTATCACGACGAGGTGACTTAAGAGCTTCTTCGTATGTCGTTGGGGTCTCGAACGCTGCACATGCTTGCTCATACCCAATACGTAGTCTCTTTGTGCCTTTTTCTTGACACACTTCTGAGCCGTCATAAAAGTCCTCATCAGCACCATTCACTGGTATTAACGCTTGAGATTGTCCATGTTGAACCGATTCTAGTGGAACCATCGCGGTTTCTTGCGATGCTTGAATACTTGTCTGTCGACTTGGTCGTATCACCATCTGTCCTTGTCTTGACACGTCTTCAGCCGATTCTTAATCTTCTTCAATCATCGTCACATCATCAATTTCAAACATTGGATCGTCAGCATTGGAACCCACGTGTTCAGGCATCTTGCTACTGCATCTTGATGGTAGAGCCATCGTTGTTGTACGCCTGTCTTGCATGTGACTCTCTTCTTGAACACTGTGACTGTCCTCCATTGCTATGTCCATGTCTTTCGTGACTCGTGGCTGTTCTAAATCGATAGAAACAGTGTCTTCGTCATGAACAGCGCGAAACTCTTGGTCACTTGATCTGCTGTAACGTTGCACGTACTGAAGTGGTGGTCTCTCATCGAATTTAGCCGATCTCGTGTGCGTCACCCTCTTGGCATCTTCATCCCATATTCGAAGCCCCTTGATTTGATCCGAGTAACCTAGAAAAATACATCGAATCGCCTTCTTGGTCATCTTGGTCCTGTTCGACTTGTCGACATGTGCATATCCCTTTGATCCAAATACACACATCTCGGAGAGGTCAGGCTTCTTCCCGAAGATGAACTCAAATGGAGTTTTAGTCGGGTGACTAGCACATGGAACTCGGTTTGTCACATAGACTGCCGTGTTCATCGCCTCAGCCCACCAAATTTTATCCACTTGCATATGGCTGAGCATTGCTCTGGCCCGCTCTGTCAGTGTCCTGTTCATGCGTTCGGCCAGCCCATTCTGTTGTGGCGAATAGGGTACCGTCGTCTGATGCATGATACCAGATTTTCGACATACACCGGAGAAACGTCTGTTGACGTATTCCGTCCCGTTGTCCGTCCTGATACACTTGATCTTCTTGGACAGTTGATTCTCCATAAGTGCCTTATACTCTATAAAGCGATCCGTCACTTCCGACTTGTTCTCAATATAGTATGCGACTATATATCTCGAATAGTCATCAATAAAAGTCACGACAAATCTTGATCCTCCTCGAGACTTCGATTCCATAGGTCCCATGACATCACTGTGGACCAACTGCAACACCTCCTTGGTTTTCACGTGTCCGTATGGTGACTTCGGAAACGTCTTGACGGTTGCTTTACCCATGATGCACCCTTCGCAGATCTCGATATCATCTTCAACGCCTTGATTCTTCTTGATCTTTAATCCATTGACGCAACCTGCCATACCCTTGAGCATCTTCGTTGACAGGTGACCTAATCTTGCATGCCACACTTGTAGATCAGCCGCTCCTGATCCGTCACTTGATTCTTGCTCTTGAGATGTCTCTCCGCAAACGTTGGCTACCTCAGCCGGACTGCACTCTAAGACGTACATCTTGTTTCGTCTTGGTATTTGGGCAACGACTTCCGTGTTACTTCTGATCTGACAGCTCAGATCTGAGAAGATCACTTGTAGACCCCTCTTTGACAATGCCGATATTGACAGTAGCCTTCGGTCTAGGCCCGGCACCCATAGCGTTTCTTCGATCCTGATCACTTCACCAGTCTTGAGTTGCACGCGCACTGTCCCAACACCTTGCGCTTCCACTTCGCTGCCGTCTGCTATGGTGATCATGATCGGGTCCGTCAGTGAGTTTAAATTCGAAAACTCATTTCTGTCGGGACACATGTGGCTGCTTGCCCCACTGTCCAATAACCATCCAGCTGACGTCCGACTTGACGCAGTAAATGCTCTCTCTTCTCCAGATCGCTCTGTCTCCACTTGTTCAGCCTTGCAATCTTGACGCTTGTGCCCATATTTGTTACATCGGTAACACCTTCCCGAAAACTTTTCACCTCTTGAACTTGATCTCCCCATATGTCTGCGCGGACCTTTCTTGTACTTGGAAGTGTGCGTACTTTTCAGTGCGATTTCTTGGTGTTCTGTCCTCGCCATTCCATCGTACTCCCGTCTCAGCATTTCCTTAGCGTGAAACAGTGTCATTCCGGGCATGTTCTCAATTATCTTGACGATAGGGTCATAGTCTCTCGTTAGACTACCCAATAGGATGACCAAATGCTCATCCTGTGAGATCTCTTGTCCCACAGCTTGCATAGTCATGCACAGCTCGTCAAATCTCAGGAAGTGATCCATGATGCTTCCTCCCTTGGCCAACTTGAACTCATGTAGTTGCCGCCGCAACTGCACACGATTGTGCATACTTTGCCGCAGGAAGAAAGTCTTCAGTATGTCCCATGCTTTTGCCGTTGTCTCTGCCGTGCGCACCATTGACTGAAGATTTGTGCTGATCATTGTGGACACAATCGCGAAGGCCTTCATGTCGTTGACTTTCCAAGTTGACGCGCTTGCGTCTCCTTCTTCTGGGGCCTTCATAGCGTCTAGGTGCTCTAGCAATCCCTTCTTTGCCAGCCTCATCCTTGCGTTGAACTCCCACACGAAGTAGTTATCTTCGCGGAGTATGTCGCCCGCATCCGGCGTAGTTGGGCTCATAACCTTTTGACTTTTGGCAACAGCCAAGAGCGAGTTGAGGTGGGAGAGCTTAGAAGAAGGTAAAATGGAAAGTGAATTTATCATCTAGCTAGGTCCTTAGTTCGTCTCGTTGTACTACTCTAAGCCTATCGATATCGACTCTATAATATTAGTAACAAAACGATGAGTCGATCCCATCGTTACACACTATCACACAGTGTCGTCCATGACATATGGTCATTAGTATCAGTAACCAACACCGTTACCAATAGTCTTACTACTCCTGGCTTTCCCATTCTGCTGGCTCAAGACGTCGGGCGTCACGGCGGAGCACTCCCAAAAGGGCCCGTGGAAACCGTCCGCTGACCGAGTTCGGATTTAGATCAGCGACCCATCTTGACGTAATCCCTGACCATCACCTCGTAGTCGACTTCCTGCTCTTCAGGTCGGCTTGGGCTCATAACGTGCTCAAATGTGCCCAGCCGCACCACTGGACGAAGAGTATCCGGCTCGGCGCTACTGCACACAAACAACCGGTACTAGATCTCAACGGGGGTCGTCACGGTCTTGGGGGAGTTCTCTTCGTGGGACCGGGCTCATGCTTAGCGAACGTGTCGGCGAGTTGTGAGCAGACCGCAAAGAGTAGGGACTTCTTAGTTTTGCAGGGTGATTCGATCCATCGCCGGCGCGTGCGCTGCACTAGGTATCCTGCGGACCGCTTCTCTCTCAAGCCGCAAGTGGCTTTGTGACATCATGTATGAGCGCTCTCGTCGCTAAAGCACCCAATACATCTTCAACCCGATCTGAAACCACATGTGATGGTCAGCGCAAAGACTACCCATTTGTTCGACCTACTGCGAGAGCGGGAGCATGCTCGCAGTACCAATGGCGAGGTAGCTGACCAGCAGCTCACTGTCTTGCGTTATTCTTAGACGTCATCCATCGCTTAAAAAAAGGAAGGAACCGTGCCGACTTGGCATACTACAATGTTACTATGGCCCAATGAGGTTTCAAGCTTAAGATGCTCATCGGGTAGGTTTTGACAAGGATAGCGAAAACACAGCGAAAACACAGCGAAAACTCGTACGAAATACCAAGACGTACACGAGGCAATAAGTGATTCACTTTCGAGCTCTACAGGTGTTTGGATCCAAGATGGCGGCTGCAACGGGGTCGCCCGTTACATGAAATTGACACCAAACGGTGTCAATAGGAATATTGTCTAGCATGACAATATTCTACCAATATTATCCGAGATGGATAATATTGAAGGAATATTATCCCCTTTTGAATAATATTCATGCGCTGCTCCAAGATTGGTTGATATAAGACGAATCAACCATAGATTGCCACCAATCGCTGCTAGACGCGCGCAATGAGTGGTGAGCAGGTTGTCGTCATACGACGGCGTAGTTTAACATAGTTAGATAAAGATTAAAGTTATACTGATAGCTTAACTATGTTAAATACATGTAACGGGGCACCCTGAAGCTTGTACTGGTGACAGTACAAGCTACTTATTCTGATAACAGAATAAGGCGGTGCCTCGTAACTTCACGTACACTCGTACGTGCAGAGGAAGACGGTAAGAAGAAGCGAGTACTTGGTTAGAGTAAAAAGTAGAACTGTATTTATAATAGTTAATGTCTGCAATAAATCACCATTTATCTTCATCTAACTATGTCTAAATACAAATGTGTAAATCAGTTATCTGCTCACCACTCATTGCGTGCGTCTGTCGTGGCGCGTCTTCGTTGGTTGATATAATGGCCTATATCAACCAATTAGGAACTACTTGGAAGTGCTACAGAATATTGTCCTTATGACAATATTCTGAGAATATAACTCTTATAGTTATATTCTATTAACAATTTCTTATAAATTGTTATGTAACGATTCACCCCGTTACATCACCCCCCCTTAACCATCAGTCACTTTAGTGACTGATTGACTAAATGTTTACTCGTCCCAAATCATTTGGGACGGGGTTTGCACTTGTTGGTCCGCGTCCACTTTCCAACATTTCATCGCATGGTAAACAAGCCCATGCGATGCGCGAGCAAGGCCGCCGAGAGCGCGTCTGCACGTCTCTGTGCGGACGCCGAAGCAGAAACTACAGCAACTGATATCCCATCGGTTGCTGAATCGACTCAGCCTGTATCACCTGGTGATGCAGGCGCTGGTCATGAAGACACTCGTGTCTTCACAGAGTACGAGCTCGGTGTCTCGCACTCTCCTGATACGGATGACGGATCCGTATCGACGGCAATTGAATCCAAGCCGCCTGCCAAGCGTGGCATGGACGATGCTTTGCGTCGCAGCATCTTTGGTTCATCTGATGAGTCAGATGAACCATCGCCGAAGCGAAGGCGCTCGAGGTCGCGAGACTCGGGCGCTAATAGTGGTGTCGTTTCTCCAATGGACACCACTTCACAGCGAGGTGCCAGTACTTCTGTCGGCACTTCGCAGGAAGAGCGGGACCGCAATGTGTTGCGTCTCGCTCCAGAAAAGAAGGCATGGATGCCTCCTAAATCTGTCATGGATCACTTGTCGGCGACGACGAGTGATCGTTATCGAACACGATTGTTCGATTCGTCGAGGATTCATCACCTTGACCCCAGCGCGAAAGACTATCGCGCTGAACATGAGTTCTTCATCGATGCTTTCTTCAGACATCGATGGTACAGTGGGAATCACAAACGTGATGGTCCCTCACTACTTCAGGCGTGGAACGCCTACATCCATAATCTCGAGGATGTAGGTCGTGACGCTTGGAACGACAAACTTATCAAAGCTCGTGATAAGTTTGAAAAGCGAACCCCGACAGGTGCACGCTACAAGCTGCATCGTCTGTCAAGGGAGAAAGGATTACCCTGCCTCTCTTGGGGAGACTCGTGCCCATGTTGTGTGAACAACTCTGCACGAGCACCTAAGGAGGCTTACCTCCTTACCAGCCCGTGGTGGCGCGTACGTGTCTCTACTGAGATGTACGAAGGGATTGACAACCTGAAATCCCTTTACGGCCGTGCCGGGAAGACTTTCTCCGGCGGTCCTTCTGCGGCACAGGATGTGTCGCGTCGTACTGCTCGACCAGACCCAGTACGTCAACCATCAATTGGGAGCGGGGCTCCCAAGAATCCCAGGACGGGGGATAGCCGCGCCACCGGACGAGGTAACTCGTCCGACGTCCGTTCACGTCGCGGTGGTTCAACAGCTGCTCAACTAGATAGCGCTGGCCACCGCGAGAGTCCTCTAATGGAGGTGGAGGAGGAGGAAAGACGCTCTCCACACGATCATGTGGATCCGTGTGTTCCCGAGAGCTTCTTTGATCGCGTAACGCAAGGATTACGCGACGATCTCGAGCATGAGCGGGACAGGCGTTTCCAACTGGCGGACACTGTCTTGAAGCATCGAGCTGAGTTTGCCTTTGCTCAGCTTGAGAACGAGAGAGCTCTGACGTCTCTGCGTGACGAGCTAAGAGTAGCTCGTGGGATTGTTGATCGGTCTCGGGCTGAGATAACTGCTCTTCAGACCCTTGTCGACGCCCACCATCGGGAGCACAAGGCTCTCTGCGAGATTCTTGAGCGCAAGGGCGTTCTTCATCGGAAGAAGCAGCGTACTGATGGTACGGCTTAAGCCGGCCAACGTAAAACGTGGGATGCGCTCGCATCTTACGTGGCAACTCGATCGTGTATGCATTGCCTAGGCGGTACAATACACGAAATGGGCCGATGTACTTGGGTAGTAGTTTACTGCTACCCAAGTTAGTCACTACATGCTTTGGTAGATTAACCGTAGACAGTAGGACTAAGTCACCTTTATTAAATAAAAGAGTGTTTGCCCTTCCATTCTTGTCAGCGTTTTGCTTTTGCTTATCCACCGCTTCGGCGATGGAGTCTTGCACAAAACGGACTACCGTTTCACGAGCCAGTATGAACTCATCTGCTGACTCGTTAGCTTCAGTGCGCTGTGAGCGCACTGCAGCAATATCAATCTTTTCTTCAGTGAGGGCTTCCGCCTCTCACTTTCCTACTTCCCACTCTCACTGGCATCATCTTCTTCGATATCGATGTTATCGATATCGGCATCAAACGCAATGACTTCTTCGTCAGAGCGTGATGAGCGTGAACCAAATCGGTTTTTGCTCGCGCGAGTCTCTCCCCCCTTAAACCAGAGTTACACTCTAGTAAGGTGGGTACACGCGGATGGCGCAAGCCATTCACGTAAAACGGTGTATGTGTCGTGGACGCATGCACCGAGTTGTTGATGGCAAACTCTACCATCGGCAAAAACTCACTCCAACTCTTAAAGGAGTGTACGTATCCTCGAAGTATCTCTTCAAGGACACGATTGGCACGTTCCGTCTGACCATCTGACTCTGGATGATCAGATGTTGACATCTTCAAGCGCGTTCCGAGTGATTTGAACGCGGAACGCCAGAAATCAGCAGTGAATCGTGGATCTCTGTCTGATACGAGTTCACGGGGCAACCCATGAAGTCGGAAGATGGTGTCAATAAAGACACAAGCACAGCCACTTGCCGTGATTGTCTCTGGTACAGCCACAAGGTGTACCATTTTGCTGAATCTGTCAACAAATACGAGAATACCTGTATTCCCGCGTGCGTCTTTGGGTAACCCGAAGACGAAATCCATTGAGATGGATTCCCAGCACTCAGCCGGAACCGGTAGAGGCTGTAAAGGTGCACGCAGTGAAGGACTTGACTTCACTCGTTGGCAGACTTCGCATGCGCGAACATACTTGCGCACAAACTGATACTGGCGGGGCCAGTAAAAGTCTCGACTTACCGTGAGATATGTTTTCTCTCGGCCACGATGTCCTCCTATAGGAGCATCGTGATACTCGAACATGATCCGCAAACGCAGATCAGTATCATCTGGAATGACAACACGCGGTGTGTCACCAGAAACGGCTGTATAGTACAGTAAACCGTTACGAGTAGTGTATCGATCTGATGCAGATCGATACGCAGACGACAATCGTTTCAACGATTCTCGAGATGGTTGGGAGAGATGTGACAACAACTTCACTATCTCACCATCTTGGGCGTATGCCCGCCTCACATCATCATACAACGTTGTAGATGGAACTGAGGACGTCATAACCGCAACAGTGACTGTCTCACTGTTGGGTTTCGCGACTGTTTCAAAGTCGGGACGACGTGAGAGTGCATCAGCGACGACATTAAGTCGTCCTGGTTTGTACTCGACCGTAAAGTTGTATTCTGCAAAGAATGACAACCACCGCGCCATTCGTTGTGAAAGGTGCGGGCTGTTCACTGCCGTGCGTAAGGACGCATGGTCAGTGTAAACAACGAAGGGTCTATCTCCTAATAGATAGACTCTGAACTTCGCGAGTGCATACTCCATGGCAAGGAGTTCCTTGTCATGCACTGGATAGTTCCGCTCAGCTGGTTGCAGCTGACGCGACTGATAGCAGACGACGCGTTCAACGCCTTCAAGGTCGTACTGCATTAATGCACAGCCGATTGCGAAATCGCTGGCATCACAGACCACATGAAATGGCCTGTCCTGATCGTCTATTGCTAGGACTGGGGATTGTATCAAGCTCTGCTTGATACCCTCAAAGGAGCGTTGACATTCAACGTTCCATAACCACCTCTCGCTCTTTTTCAACAAACGAGAGAGGTGCACAGTCATCTCGGCGTAATTGCGTATATACTTGTGCAAATACGCCGCTAGCCCAAGGAATTTTCGAAGACCTTTGACATCCACCGGCACAGGCCAGTCGGTTATCGCCTTGATCTTTTCGGGATCAGGACGTACACCGTTCTTACCAACGATGCACCCAAGAAGTGGTATTTCGCTTGCTGCAAATATACACTTCTTGAGGTTTGCATACAATTGATGCTTTCGCATGATTGTAAGAACTTGTCGGACGTGGTACTTGTGAACCTCAACGTCCGACTTTCCATCCATAGCTCGACTATGGATGAATACGTCATCGAAATAACTCGGCGCGAATTCTCGTACCGGCCTCAACAGATGTGATACACACCTGTTGAACGTGGCAGGGGCATTACTGAGCCCTTGTGGCATTACTAGCCATTCCCAGAGCATGCCGCTAGGCGTGCTAACTGCGGTATAGGGTATATCCCGTTCCCGCATTAGGATTTGATAGAAGCCATCCATCAAATCCATGGACGAAAAGATGGTACTCTTTGACATACCATCAATGATTACGTCCTTCCTCGGTATCGGCGTCTGAGCCGGTACCGTTGCAGCGTTCAATTTGTTAAACGCGTGCACTATCCGCCACCCTCCTGTTGCTTTTCGCACACAGAAGGTCGGAGAGCTATGTGGGGAAGTTGATTCCCTCACATGGCCCGCTGCTAAACGATCGGCAAAGAACTTGTCGATCGCAAGTACTTGTTCACGAGGCAGTGGCCACTGCTTCATGACACAGTACTTCGAGCCTGGTTTAAGCTCGACTTCGTGTCGAGTATCTTTATCCTTCGGTAATTCGCACGGAACAGTTTCAGGGAATACATCCTTGAATTCAACCAAATCTTCATAGAGAGGATTTTCCTTGAGCGATTCCCATGATTGGGACTCATATCGCTCAATTCGTGTCTTTTCATCTAGGACACTCTCGTCCATAGATGAACTACTGAGAACTCTCTCGTTCTCAGTAAACACTGTTGCTGACCTTATGTCGGTTACATACTCGTCTTCAGCGACGAGTATGCAGATCTGCTTGACTTTGCCACTACGCAGATCACGCAAGAATCTTTTATGTTCGAGCGTTGGCAACTGAGTGATCTCCGAAGTTAACTTCGGAGGCGCAATCAGATCAAGTGTATAAGCGCCTACACATGATCCGTTATTGACTATGACATTCAATGTCTCTGTCATTTCCTGGGGACTTATTCCCTCAGGCTTCGAAGGACTTATTCCTTCGTCTTCCCGGGGACTTATTCCCGCGGGTTTCGGGGAACTTATTTCCGCCGTATTTGTAATCTTGGGACTTATTCCCTTTACTTCCTCTAGCTGGGGTTGCGCAACCACAGCGAGATCCTCTACGAAAGACTCTCCAGTCGATCTAGGATTATCGTTTCGCTTAACCTGAGCGATCGATTGTTTCTCTTCTAGATGTTCCCCTCTAGGGATACATCTTTGTCCCAGTCCACTCGACTTATTCGAGTGGTGGACCTTCGGCGCAGCCTGTGTTTCCTCACAACCGCCGGAACTTTGCTCCGAAGTGTAACCGTTTGTTACACTAAGGTTTTGTGCAGTCGTACTAACGACCGTACCACAAGTGAGACCATCGCACTCACTCGTAGTACATCCACACGCTTGTGGACGCTCCAAAACGCTCATCAGATGGCCATCTGGTGAACAAGCGGCAGGCATCGTTACTGTTCGATGTTGCCAGTTTACCCGTGGTTCGTACCTTCTGAGCCACGGTATTCCAAGGATGACATCAAATTTGTCATCCAAATCCAATACGATAAAGTCATCGTCGTATTGGGTATCTTCTAGCGTATAGTGAATCTTCACTATACGCTTCATGACGGTTACGGAGGCGCCTGTCGCAAGACGTACCGTCATCCTCGTAGGAGGTGTGTCACATTCACTGAACTTAAAGTGACCATCTTCTAGCGATTGGCGTCGCACAAAATTGTTGGACGCCCCACAATCGACTAGAGCTCGAAGGGACAACTTATTCGTCACTTCGAGTTTCAAGGTAATGAGTGAGATCTCATTACCTAGAGCAGCAACGCACAATGTCTGTGTGTTGGGAGCAACCTTCATCAAGAGGCCTACAAATTCTCTTGACGTTGCTGGATCAGTAGGGTGCTCCGCACCTACTGATCCTGTCCGTTTTTTGACGGTCCATCCCGTTGTTGCGTCTTTGCACCAACTGCGGACCCTCGTCCCTGCCCCTTTCTCATGGGTGGACGGTCACTACGCCCAGTGTTGCGAGACACTGGACGAGGGGCACTACACTCGTAAGCGTAGTGTCCTGTCTTTTGACATCTGTTGCATCTCTGCAACTTCTTGTAGCCTGTAGAGTGAGCCTTCTCGCTCTCTACATAACAGAGTTCCATCGGCTCTGGACCTCCGTTGTCATATCGTCTCGGTTGACGATATGATGTCGAGCTGGCGCGAGCCTGTCTCAGACTGAAGTCTTCCTGCTCCGCAATTGAAATGGCTTGTTCTAGTGAATCTAGTTCAAGCCGGAACAGGTGAGTCTTGACGGGACCATCCGCAAGACCCTGCATGAACACCGAAACCAACGTGTGTTCATCCACCGGATTGGAACTTATACAACTCGTGAGATGTCGTATATGTTGAGCGTAAGCGTGCACATCACGCTTACCCTGCTTGAGCTTCAAGAGTTCAGTTCGAGCTCTGAACTCAGCTCTAGGCGGTTCAAACGTTTGTCTGAGCCGCGACTTGAAGACTTCCAACGACCCAAACGCGTATGGGTCGTGCAGCTTGAGCCCCAGTGCCCAAGTCTTGGCACGTCCTGCCAGATTTGACTGGGCAAATGCAACTTGCATATCCCCGTCGTCGATGCGACGCGCCCTTATGGCGTCATCCAATTCGACGAACCATCTCAAGAGGGAGTCTTCTTCGACCCCCCTATACTTTGAGATGTCAATCTTCAAAGTCTCGGGCCGACGCGAGTGCATCGACCCGCCAGCAGCAGCCTGCTGCTGTCTCAACAGTTCAAACTGTTGAGCACCTTGTTCTCTCAACAACTCTGCTTGTTGAGAACCTTGTTGGTGAAGCAAGGCTACTTTCTCGCGTTCTGCGTCAAGTTCATTTTGAATGAACTTGGCGATAGTAGCATGTTGGGCATCTCTATTGAGAGCCTCTAGCATGACGCTAACAGCATGGATGCCCATGGTCGAACCCATTCGTTCAACCGCATCCCATTCGACATCGCTCAAATGGGAGTAGCCGTCACGCGTAGCGTGAAAGCTTTGGTCATCTTCATCATCCAACATATTCATGTTGGATGTGAACGCGGTCCTTGGACGGACTACGAAGTGCTACCAGGTGTAACGGGGCACCCTGAAGCTTGTACTGGTGACAGTACAAGCTACTTATTCTGATAACAGAATAAGGCGGTGCCTCGTAACTTCACGTACACTCGTACGTGCAGAGGAAGACGGTAAGAAGAAGCGAGTACTTGGTTAGAGTAAAAAGTAGAACTGTATTTATAATAGTTAATGTCTGCAATAAATCACCATTTGTCTTCATCTAACTATGTCTAAATACAAATGTGTAAATCAGTTATCTGCTCACCACTCATTGCGTGCGTCTGTCGTGGCGCGTCTTCGTTGGTTGATATAATGGCCTATATCAACCAATTAGGAACTACTTGGAAGTGCTACAGAATATTGTCCTTATGACAATATTCTGAGAATATAACTCTTATAGTTATATTCTATTAACAATTTCTTATAAATTGTTATGTAACGATTCACCCCGTTACAATACAGTTCTCTTTTTACCTTTACTTGACCGAGTCGTTCAAAACAATTAGCTTCCTCTGCACGTACTAGTGTGCGTGAAGTTTCGCGGCACCCCAAACAAAGGGTACCCCGTTACAGCGGCCGTCAAATTTGACGCCATGATACCAGCTGACATTCATCTCGAATAAGCCTGCTTATCGTGTACTTCGTGCACCTCGTTACGCACTAGTGCGGCTTCATGTTCCTTCACCTAGAGGCTTAGAACACTAAGAAAGACATCATGATCCCGATGTCATTGAAGGTAGCTCAATTCTGGACGCGGCAATTAAAGCGAATGGAGTACACGCTTAGAGAAAGATACACGTGATACATTCTTACTTCATCGTTCATCTTGTTTGGTAAAAGGAGAGGCAGGCTACAGTGGCGAGTCGTCACAGCGATACGAATGTTACAAAATATGTCAATGCTGGCGGTCTTAAAGGCTATACGTATCTCAATCGGTTTCACCAATACTGTTACGGGGTGAATCGTTACATAACAATTCATAAGAAATTGTTAATAGAATATAACTATAAGATTTATATTCTCAGGATATTGTCATAAGGACAAATATTCTGTAGCACTTACGAGTAGTTCCTAATTGGTTGATATAGGCCATTATATCAACCAACGAAGACGCGCCACGACAGACGCACGCAATGAGTGGTGAGCAGATAGTTGATATGCACATTTGTATTCAGACATAGTTAGATGAGGATAAACAGCGATTTATTAACAGACATTAACTATGCTAAATACAGTTCTACTTTTTACTTTAACCAAGTACTCGCTTCTTCTTACCGTCTTCCTCTGCACGTACGAGTGTGCGTGAAGTTACGAGGCACCGCCTTATTCTGTCATCAGAATAAGTAGCTTGTACTGTCACCAGTACAAGCTTCAGGGTGCCCCGTTACACCTGGTAGCACTTTGTAGTCCGTCCAAGGACCACGTTCACATCTAACATGAATATGTTGGATGATGAAGATGACCAAAGCTTTCACGCTACGCGTGACGGCTACTCCCATTTGAGCGATGTCGAATGGGATGCGGTTGAACGGATGGGTTCAACCATGGGCATCCATGCTGTTAGCGTCATGCTAGAGGCTCTCAATAGAGATGCCCAACATGCTACTATCGCCAAGTTCATTCAAAATGAACTTGACGCAGAACGCGAGAAAGTAGCCTTGCTTCACCAACAAGGTTCTCAACAAGCAGAGTTGTTGAGAGAACAGGGTGCTCAACAGTTTGAGCTGTTGAGACAGCAGCAGGCTGCTGCTGGTGGGTCGATGCATTTGCGTCGACCCGAAACCTTGAAGATTGACATCTCCAAGTATAGGAAAGTCGAAGAGGACTCTCTCTTGAGATGATTTGTCGAATTGGATGACGCCATACGGGCGCGTCGCATCGACGACGGGGATATGCAAGTTGCATTTGCCCAGTCAAATCTGGCAGGACGTGCCAAGACTTGGGCACTGGGGCTCAAGTTGCACGACCCATATGCGTTTGGGTCGTTGGAAGTCTTCAAGTCGCGGCTCAGACAAACGTTTGAACCGCCTAGAGCTGAGTTCAGAGCTCGAACTGAACTCTTGAAGCTCAAACAGGGTAAGCGTGATGTGCACGCTTACGCGCAACATATACGACATCTCACGAGTTGTATAAGTTCTAACCCAGTTGATGAACACACACGTTGGTTTCGGTGTTCCTGAAGGGTCTTGCGGATGGTCCCGTCAAGACTCACCTGTTCCGACTTGAACTAGATTCACTAGAACAAGCCATTTCCATTGCGGAACAGGAAGACTTCAGTCTGAGACAGGCTCGCGCCAGCTCGACATCTTATCGTCAACCGAGACGATATGACAGCGGAGGTCCAGAGCCGATGGAACTCTGTTATGTAGAGAGCGAGAAGGCTCGCTCTACAGACTACAAGAAGTTGCAGAGATGCAATAGATGTCAAAAGACAGGACACTACGCTTACGAGTGTAGTGCCCCTCGTCCAGTGTCTCGCAACACTGGGCGTAGTGACCGTCCACCCATGAGAAAGGGGCAGGGACGAGGGTCCGCAGTTGGTGCAAAGACGCAACAACGGGATGGACCGTCAAAAAACGGACAGGATCAGTAGGTGCGGAGCACCCTACTGATCCAGCAACGTCAAGAGAATTTGTAGGCCTCTTGATGAAGGTTGCTCCCAACACACAGACATTGTGCGTTGCTGCTCTAGGTAATGAGATCTCACTCATTACCTTGAAACTCGAAGTGACAAATAAGTTGTCCCTTCGAGGTCTAGTCGATTGTGGGGCGTCCAACAATTTTGTGCAACGCCAATCGCTAGAAGATGGTCACTTTAAGTTCAGTAAATGTGACACACCTCCTACAAGGATGACGGTACGTCTTGCGACAGGCGCCTCCGTAACCGTCATGAAGCGTATAGTGAAGATCCACTATGCGCTAGAAGATACCCAAGTTGACGATGACTTTATCGTATTGGATTTGGATGACAAATTTGATGTCATCCTTGGAATACCGTGGCTCAGAAGGTACGAACCACGGGTAAACTGACAACATCGAACAGTAACGATGCCTGCCGCTTGTTCACCAGATGGCCATCTGATGAGCGTTTTGGAGCGTCCACAAGCGTGTGGATGTACTACGAGTGAGTGCGATGGTCTCACTTGTGGTACGGTCGTTAGTACGACTGCACAAAACCTTAGTGTAACAAACGGTTACACTTCGGAGCAAAGTTCCGGCGGTTGTGAGGAAACACAGGCTGCGCCGAAGGTCCACCACTCGAATAAGTCGAGTGGACTGGGACAAAGATGTATCCCTAGAGGGGAACATCTAGAAGAGAAACAATCGATCGCTCAGGTTAAGCGAAACGATTATCCTATATCGACTGGAGAGTCTTTCGTAGAGGATCTCGCTGTGGTTGCGCAACCCCAGCTAGAGGAAGTAAAGGGAATAAGTCCCAAGATTACAAATACGGCGGAAATAAGTTCCCCGAAACCCGCGGGAATAAGTCCCCGGGAAGACGAAGGAATAAGTCCTTCGAAGCCTGAGGGAATAAGTCCCCAGGAAATGACAGAGACATTGAATGTCATAGTCAATAACGGATCATGTGTAGGCGCTTATACACTTGATCTGATTGCGCCTCCGAAGTTAACTTCGGAGATCACTCAGTTGCCAACGCTCGAACATAAAAGATTCTTGCGTGATCTGCGTAGTGGCAAAGTCAAGCAGATCTGCATACTCGTCGCTGAAGACGAGTATGTAACCGACATAAGGTCAGCAACAGTGTTTACTGAGAACGAGAGAGTTCTCAGTAGTTCATCTATGGACGAGAGTGTCCTAGATGAAAAGACACGAATTGAGCGATATGAGTCCCAATCATGGGAATCGCTCAAGGAAAATCCTCTCTATGAAGATTTGGTTGAATTCAAGGATGTATTCCCTGAAACTGTTCCGTGCGAATTACCGAAGGATAAAGATACTCGACACGAAGTCGAGCTTAAACCAGGCTCGAAGTACTGTGTCATGAAGCAGTGGCCACTGCCTCGTGAACAAGTACTTGCGATCGACAAGTTCTTTGCCGATCGTTTAGCAGCGGGCCATGTGAGGGAATCAACTTCCCCACATAGCTCTCCGACCTTCTGTGTGCGAAAAGCAACAGGAGGGTGGCGGATAGTGCACGCGTTTAACAAATTGAACGCTGCAACGGTACCGGCTCAGACGCCGATACCGAGGAAGGACGTAATCATTGATGGTATGTCAAAGAGTACCATCTTTTCGTCCATGGATTTGATGGATGGCTTCTATCAAATCCTAATGCGGGAACGGGATATACCCTATACCGCAGTTAGCACGCCTAGCGGCATGCTCTGGGAATGGCTAGTAATGCCACAAGGGCTCAGTAATGCCCCTGCCACGTTCAACAGGTGTGTATCACATCTGTTGAGGCCGGTACGAGAATTCGCGCCGAGTTATTTCGATGACGTATTCATCCATAGTCGAGCTATGGATGGAAAGTCGGACGTTGAGGTTCACAAGTACCACGTCCGACAAGTTCTTACAATCATGCGAAAGCATCAATTGTATGCAAACCTCAAGAAGTGTATATTTGCAGCAAGCGAAATACCACTTCTTGGGTGCATCGTTGGTAAGAACGGTGTACGTCCTGATCCCGAAAAGATCAAGGCGATAACCGACTGGCCTGTGCCGGTGGATGTCAAAGGTCTTCGAAAATTCCTTGGGCTAGCGGCGTATTTGCACAAGTATATACGCAATTACGCCGAGATGACTGTGCACCTCTCTCGTTTGTTGAAAAAGAGCGAGAGGTGGTTATGGAACGTTGAATGTCAACGCTCCTTTGAGGGTATCAAGCAGAGCTTGATACAATCCCCAGTCCTAGCAATAGACGATCAGGACAGGCCATTTCATGTGGTCTGTGATGCCAGCGATTTCGCAATCGGCTGTGCATTAATGCAGTACGACCTTGAAGGCGTTGAACGCGTCGTCTGCTATCAGTCGCGTCAGCTGCAACCAGCTGAGCGGAACTATCCAGTGCATGACAAGGAACTCCTTGCCATGGAGTATGCACTCGCGAAGTTCAGAGTCTATCTATTAGGAGATAGACCCTTCGTTGTTTACACTGACCATGCGTCATTACGCACGGCAGTGAACAGCCCGCACCTTTCACAACGAATGGCGCGGTGGTTGTCATTCTTTGCAGAATACAACTTTACGGTCGAGTACAAACCAGGACGACTTAATGTCGTCGCTGATGCACTCTCACGTCGTCCCGACTTTGAAACAGTCGTGAAACCCAACAGTGAGACAGTCACCGTTGCGGTTATGACGTCCTCAGTTCCATCTACAACGTTGTATGATGATGTGAGGCGGGCATACGCCCAAGATGGTGAGATAGTGAAGTTGTTGTCACATCTCTCCCAACCATCTCGAGAATCGTTGAAACGATTGTCGTCTGCGTATTGATCTGCATCAGATCGATACACTACTCGTAACGGTTTACTGTACTATACAGCCGTTTCTGGTGACACACCACGTGTTGTCATTCCAGATGATACTGATCTGCGTTTGCGGATCATGTTCGAGTATCACGATGCTCCTATAGGAGGACATCGTGGCCTGGAGAAAACATATCTCACGGTGAGTCGAGACTTTTACTGGCCCCGCCAGTATCAGTTTGTGCGCAAGTATGTTCGCGCATGCGAAGTCTGTCAACGAGTGAAGTCAAGTCCTTCACTGCGTGCACCTTTACAGCCTCTACCGGTTCCGGCTGAGTGCTTGGAATCCATCTCAATGGATTTCGTCTTCGGGTTACCCAAAGACGCACGCGGGAATACGGGTATTCTCGTATTTGTTGACAGATTCAGCAAAATGGTACACCTAGTGGCTGTACCAGAGACAATCACGGCAAGTGGCTGCGCTTGTGTCTTTATCGACACCATCTTCCGACTACATGGGTTGCCCCGTGAACTCGTATCAGACAGAGATCCACGATTCACTGCTGATTTCTGGCGTTCCGTGTTCAAATCACTCGGAACGCGCTTGAAGACGTCTACATCTGATCATCCAGAGTCAGATGGTCAGACGGAACGTGCCAATCGTGTCCTCGAAGAGATACTTCGAGGATACGTACACTCCTTTAAGATTTGGATTGAGTTCTTGCCAATGGTAGAGTTTGCCATCAACAACTCGGTGCATGCGTCCACGACCCATACACCCTTTACGTGAATGGCTTGCGCCATCCGCGTGTACCCACCTTACTACAGTGTAACTCTGGTTTAAGGGGGGAGAGACTCGCGCGAGCAAAAACCGATTTGGTTCACGCTCATCACGCTCTGACGATGAGGTCATTGCGTTTGATGCCGATATCAACAACATCGATATCGAGGGAGATGATGCCAGTGAGAGCGAGGAAGCCCTCACTGAAGAAAAGATTGATGTCGCTGCAGTGCACTCACAGCGCACCGAAGCTAACGAGTCATCAGATGAGTTCAAACTGGCTCGTGAAACGGTTGTCCGTTTTGTGCAGGACTCCATCACCGAAGCGGTGGATAAGCAAAAGCAAAACGCTGACAAGAATGGAAGGGCAAACACTCTTTTATTTAATAAAGGTGACTTAGTCCTACTGTCTACGGTTAATCTACCAAAGCATGTAGTGACTAACTTGGGTAGTAGTAAACTTCTACCCAAGTACATCGGCCCATTTCGTGTATTGCATTGCCTAGGCAACGCATACACGATCGAGTTACCACGTAAGATGCGAACGCATCCCACGTTTTACGTTGGTCGGCTTAAGCCGTACCATCAGTACGCTGTTTCTTCCGATGAAGAACGCCCTTGCGCTCAAGCATCTCACAGAGAGCCTTGTGCTCCCGATGGTGGATATCAACAAGGGTCTAAAGAGCATTTAGATCAGCCCGAGACCGGTCAATATCCACACGAGCTACCCTTAGCTCGTCACGCAGAGATGTCAAAGCTCTCTCATTTTTAAGCTGAGCAAAGGCAAACTCAGCTCGATGCTTCAAGACAGTGTCCGCCAGTTGAAGACGCCTGTCATGCTCATGTTCGAGATCGTTGCGTAACCCTTGCGTTACGCGATCAAAGAAGCTATCGGGAACACACGGATCCCCACGATTGTGTGAGAGTGTCTTTCCTCCTCCTCCACCTCCATTAGAGGACTCTCGCGGTGGCCAGCGCTATCTAGTTGAGCAGCTGTTGAACCACCGCGACGTGAACGGACGTCAGACGAGTTATCTCGTCCGGTGGCGCGGCTATCCCCCGTCCTGGGATTCTTGGGAGCCCCGCTCCCAACTGATGATTGACGTACTGGGTCTGGTTGAGCAGTACGACGCGGCACATCCTGTGCCGCAGAAGGACCGCCGGAGAAAGTCTTCCCGGCACGGCCGTAAAGGGATTTCAGGTTGTCAATCCCTTCGTACATCTCACTAGAGATACGTACGCGCCACCACGGGCTATTAGGGAGGTAAGCCTCTTCAGGTGCTCGTGCAGAGTTGTTCACACAACATGGGCACGAGTCTCCCCAAGAGAGGCAGGGTAATCCTTTCTCCCTTGACAAACGATGCAGCTTGTAGCGTGCACCTGTCGGGGTTCGCTTTTCAAACTTATCACGAGCTTTGATAAGTTTGTCGTTCCAAGCGTCACGACCTACATCCTCGAGATTATGGATGTAGGCGTTCCACGCCTGAAGTAGTGAGGGACCATCACGTTTGTGATTCCCACTGTACCATCGATGTCTAAAGAAAGCATCGATGAAGAACTCATGTTCAGCGCGATAGTCTTTCGCGCTGGGGTCAAGGTGATGGATCCTTGACGAAACGAACAACCGTGTTCGATAACGATCACTCGTCTTCGCCGACAAGTAATCCATGACGGATTTTAGAGGCATCCATGCCTTCTTCTCGGGATCGAGACGCAACACATTGCGGTCCCGCTCTTCCTGCGACGTGTCGACGGAAGGACTGGCACCTCGTTGCGAAGTGGTGTCCATAGGAGAAACGACACCACTGTGAGCGCCCGAGTCTTGCGACTTCGAGCGCCTTCGCTTCGGCGATTGTTCATCTGATTCATCAGATGAACCAAATATGCTACGACGCATAGCATCATCCATGCCGCGCTTGGCAGGCGGCTTGGATTCGATCGCCGTCGATACGGATCCGTCTTCCGTATCAGGAGAGTATGAGACTCCGAGCTCATACTCTGTGAAGACATGAGTGTCTTCATGACCAGCGCCTGCATCACCAAGTGACACAGGCGGAGTCGCTTTAGCAACCGATGAGACATCAGTTGCTGTGGTTTCTGCTTCGGCGTCCGCACAGAGACGTGCGAACGCGCTCTCGGCGGCCTTGCTCGCGCATCGCATGGGCTTGTTAACCATGCGATGAAATGTTGGAAAGTGGACTCGGACCAACAAGTGCAAACCCTGTCCCAAATGATTTGGGACGAGTAAACATTTAGTCAATCAGTCACTAAAGTGACTGATGGTTAGGGGGGGGTGATGTAACGGGGTGAATCGTTACATAACAATTCATAAGAAATTGTTAATAGAATATAACTATAAGATTTATATTCTCAGGATATTGTCATAAGGACAAATATTCTGTAGCACTTACGAGTAGTTCCTAATTGGTTGATATAGGCCATTATATCAACCAACGAAGACGCGCCACGACAGACGCACGCAATGAGTGGTGAGCAGATAGTTGATATGCACATTTGTATTCAGACATAGTTAGATGAGGATAAACAGCGATTTATTAACAGACATTAACTATGCTAAATACAGTTCTACTTTTTACTTTAACCAAGTACTCGCTTCTTCTTACCGTCTTCCTCTGCACGTACGAGTGTGCGTGAAGTTACGAGGCATCGCCTTATTCTGTCATCAGAATAAGTAGCTTGTGCTGTCACCAGTACAAGCTTCAGGGTGCCCCGTTACAAATACCGTAAAAACGAGTGTCGACCTTGATCCCATCGGGTCACGCTGCAACCATGTGGCTGTACCTGGCCGTCTTTCGATGGATCTTAAGGACGCTGAGAACTAAATACTACATTTTAGTTTGTGTAGGATCTAACAAAACACCAGCACTCCAAAGTTTATCAGGTACAAATTTTACAAGTTTCCAGCAGTTAGGCTCACTTCACCGAGATCAACACATTTCCATTCGTAATCGAGCATTTTTGATGCTGTCGACAAACATGCCATCTCATAAGATTAAGACGTGTCTCCATGTGGAACTTAGCTTAAACCGCTTGACCGTATAGGATGGAACGAAACTAGTACTTTGAATGGCATCTCGTCATCTGACAGCTCTAAAAATAGTAGTGACAGACACGTAGTGTCGGCTGTAGAGTCATGACTTTACATTTGCTTGGTGCGCTACTCAAGTGTTGATCGACATGAGAGTGTCCAGGATATGCGATGTCCACCATACTGGTTCACTAGCTTAGATGGCGCGGGTCTAGCTTCCATCGTGTTGGTAAACGTTTATGCAAAGCTGCTTGATTTACTCATGACCGCCTTCACGTACTCACTTTGAATGCTGCGAGCGAGGCGAACCTACAACAATACACTCGGCCCGATTTAAGCTGCGACCCGACATCATGATGAAAAAAGCACGCGTGGACCACAATTGTAGCCCCATGAGCGTCTCGATCCACCTCTGACATGGCTTTAAATTTGCTCGGTTGGGTAAACTAGGCACAGTCGCAAGTGCACAACATCGTACGCAACATCTAGTGTATACTATAATATTGCCATCCAGGCACGAGCATCAACCAAATATGCCGGACGAATAGTCTACGCGCTGTTGTAGCAATGTACAATACCACAACTCTGTAGTTAAACATTAAAACTAGTGAGACAAGTACTGTGGTGCCTGGTATGTAATGCCTTGATGAAGAATGCAAAAGTGATTGCATTAGGTCCTTAGTTCACACGGAAGCTGCTACTCTAAGTCTTCTGGATTCCATGGATAATGCTTTCTCGATTTTAGCTGGGATTAAACTCGATGGATTGCACAACGTGCTCTTATACGGTCGGTCCGCAACCATTCTAGAGCAGGATTGTACAACGTGCGCGTAGACGAAGTCAACCGCAATCATTCTGGAGCGGGATTGCACACCGTGCGCGTAAACGACGTCGAAAGCCATTCTGGAACGGGCGTCTTTCGCTACATCCTCCCCGAGCGGAGTTAGCGTTGGTGCACTAAGAAGTCTTGCACTAAATCGCGCCAATGTGTCTCGTGTCTGATGTTTTTTTTCCAGGTACACTCGTGCTCTGGAAGTCCATGCCACCGGACGAGCCACTCCGGTTGTCTGCTAACCATTCGCTTATTGACAAGCGCTTCCACATTGTGCAACTCGTAATAGTTGGCTTCATCAAGTATCACTGGTACTGATTTCGGCACCGGTCGACTGTTAAACCGCACAGGGTTTGGCACAAAGTGACTTGACAAATCGATGTTGAAGCTCGGGTGCAACTTGATGAGTGCTCGAGGGAGAGTAAGCTTGGCCACATTCTGGTTAATCATTTCTCAATCTTGACGGCCCAATCTTCTTCGCAACAAGCTTTGAATTTGTTACATCTTGACCGTTGTTGCGATGGCGTAAATTGGGATATCTAGAGTCAAGCATGACCATGTCCCCAGCATTGAACGTAACACTGCTGCGTTTCCTGTTGTAGTGCTCTTTTTGTTTCCATTGAGCATCCTTCAAGTTCTTCCGTGCAAAATCGGTGATCTTCTGTCTTTTGTCTGCAAACATCTTGGCGTACTCGGATATACCGATCTTCGTCACGTTGTCACTGGGGATGTTATAGCGCTGCTGCATTTCCGCCCCGTGTCAATTTCGAATGGTGAGAGCTACTTAGACCTGCTTACCATTGTAGCGTACGAAAAATCGATAGTACTGAGATGCTCTGACCAGTCACTTCCATTGTATGATACCATACATCTTAGAGCATCTACCGAAAATAAATAAATTGACGCTCTGTTTGACCTCCCGCTTGTGCGCTGTGCGATTTCTTCATCGAAAGCCTAGTACCCATGATCGCCATGAGAGATCTCCAAAATTTGGGCGTAAATTTCGGGTCGCGATCACTTATGATGACCTTCGGTAGACCGTAATAGCGGACTACCACATCAAAGAAAAGTTTAGCAACTTGTGGCGCGTCGACGTTGGTGTGCGTGGCAGCATATCGTGGACGTTTCGACAGTTTATCAACTACAGTCATGATCGCGTCAAACCCGCTTGACACGGTAGTATTGTAATAAAATCCATCGATGCAACTTCCCAACAGTCTTCTGGTATAGGTATTGGCATGAGCTTTCCATTTTTTTCAGCGTGCTCGTATTCCATCGCACACATGTACCACAGCTTGATACATAATCGTGCACATCTTGTTCCAAGTTTGGCCAAAAGCACCATTGCGCCACCTTTAATTGAGTGCGACGTATTACTGGATGTGCCGCTGTGTTCCCACCGTGATGTTCTCGGAGGATACGAATGATTAACCGATTGTCCGATGGAACGCAGAGTCGATTAACAGCATGCGTTGTTTTTATATAAAGAAGCTCATTCTTTAACACGTACTTCTCATAAACGTTGGTTAAAACACTCTTAAATTCCCGATGATGCGCGTAGCCGACCTTAAACGATTTCTTCATCGCAGGGGAGAGGTGCACACTTGATACCACGAAATCGATGTGCTGAACTTGATCCTGCACGTGAACTTGTTGAATCTGATTTACACCAACGTGGTGAAGTACACCACTCACCCCCCGAAGGTCATGCGCATCGAGCAGAAATTATTGGTCGAGACGCGAGAGAGAGTACAGAGCTGTCAATTGGATACCGTGACGACGCAGAGTTGTATGTGAACAACGCACTGCTGCTCACAGTCATGAGTACGAGGTATTGAAGCTTATAAAGGGTCTGCGAGCGGAGTGACCCCGTTCGGCCGTGACAACGCATCGGCGACCACGTTGGAGAAGCCTTTGCATGAGCTCAGCATTTGACGGCCATCCAGCGGCACGCAGTATTGTCTGTAAACACATTGAAAGAACCTGTATGAAGGTAATGACGCCATTTGGAAGGAGCTGTCTTGATCGCTAATAGTTCTTGCTCGTGGGCAGGCCGCGCCTAATGAACTTCAAACTTCTTAAAGTAAAACGCGATAGAGTGATCTTTGCCATCTGCGATCTGGAAAAGGACGTCACCCATGCAGCACTCGGAAGCATCTGTGGTGACAGTAATAGGTATCGCGAATTTCGTTAGCTGTAGCACAGGTGCTTGTTGTAAGGCGACCATTAAGTCGCGAAATGCTTTGTCTTGATCGTGCGACCACTCCCACCGCACTCCTTTTTAACGATCTTCGTAAGGGGTAGTGCAATTTGTGCAAAGCACAGATAAACCGTCGATAGTATCCAGCTAATCCGAGAAAGCTCACTATTTCTTTACGCGTGCTTGGTGCCTTCATCTGCTCAAAAGCTGTTGTATTCCGCTGATCCACACTCAAGCCATTCTTTGATATTGTATGGACTAAAAACGCTACACTGTCCTTGCCAAAAGAGCACTCCCCCATGTGCGTAGAGCTTCTCTTGGCGCAGTACCTTAACACTTCGCGCAGATGCCGAATGGGGTCTACGTTCGACTTGAGAAAGGCGCAATTGTCGTCAAGATATACAACCACATTGTCAAATTAATCGAAGAGGACCCGCTTCAGTCGGGACCAGACACCTGGCATTCCTGCCAAGCCTATAGGCGCAACACACCATTAATATGTCTCCTTGTGAGTCCGAAAAGCCGTGTATCGACGGATGGGTTCGTTTTCAAGCATCTGATGATATCTTTGAGCCAGGTATATCACAGTGTAAATAGAACAGCCTGTCATTTGATCAAAAAGCTTTTTAATGAGAGGCAGAGTAATTTCCCGAATCTTGGTCTGACTGTTCACGTATCGATAATCGATAACCCATCGAATAGGTTGCGAGCAAGTTCCCGACAGAAGCCACTCACCCCGAGTGGGAACTTGTCCGGTAACATGGTTCTTTTTTGGTGTACCAAAGACGCTGGAAACCCACGGTAAGTTTGAGACTTCTACCCAGCCTTTCTTAAGGTTCTCTGTCACGAAGTACTCGAGCGCTGCTTGCTCCGTCTTGGACAGACAAAAGGGGGCTCGAGAGCTGGGAATGGTATCCGGTTTCATCTCAACTTCGAACTGCACAGCACGTGTCGGCGGGAGACCATCAGGAAGCGTTTCTGAAAAAAAATCGCTTTATTCCGAAATAAGATCATAAATTTATGCAGGGATGATATTGCTTGTGGTAACAGGGGATACTCTTACCATGTAAATCTCGGCGTATTCGTCTCTTCGCACATACAATGGTCGCGAAGGTCCACATCGTACAGGGCTCTGATTACACTGATCTGGCTGGGTCAACCTATTCTCGTTCATGCCATCGAATTTAGCAAGAGCCTTTGTGTGTAGAATTTCCCGGAGATCCAGTCCACCTGCGGGGCGTAATCGCGGAACCACGGAAGCACAAAATGACGTCCTGATCAGCATCTAAAAGACTCTCCGTAGAAATCTTGTGGGCAAATTCTATGTCACTCATCCGAACAGTTTCTTCAACTTTCGACAACTCGGTGGTGAAGTTAGAGAGCCATCGAACCTCTTCATTTGTTCTCGATGTGTACTGATGACTCGGAACGCAAGGCCTGGACGAATCACGTTGGGTTAAAGCTTCACAATCCAATAAGATTGTCACTTGCACACCATCAATCATACCGCGTTTACGCAGCCAAGTAGGCTGTAGATCGACCACGTGTACTTCAACAGCGTTGATACTGTATTCATCCAATACGAACCCACTTTCATCTTCTTCTTTTGTCTCTTGCACACTATCAATCATGCCGATTCTCCCATTCGGTCACGATGATCTCCGTTCTCGTGGCCTCGTCGGACATTCTGCGAGTAGATATCCTGGCTGTTTACAATGTAAGCGTAATTTGCGCTGAAAGCATTCTTCCTTAGACACCACTTGTACATTATCAATTTCCATAGGATCTGGTCGGGCATCTTCGAAGCACGGACGCGGCCTTATTTCTTGTTTACGAAACGGCTGCGCGCGTCTGGCGATCCCACGCCTAAATGTGATCGCTCGAAGTCATAAGCAATTTTGATCGCTTGATTTAACGATGAGCATCGTCTTTACTCGACTTCAGCGCGATTTTGGTGCTTTAATCCCCGAGTGAAATAAAAATGAATTTGACATCACTCATATTTCGGACCCGAATCATCAGCTGTCGGAAGCGGTTAGCGAAATCCCCAAGCTCCCGGCATTGAGCCTGATCCAGGTGTCGAAGCTGGTCACGAAGATGTATATGAAGGTCTGCTGGTACGAACTCTTGCTCCAGATGAAAAAAGAGCTCATCCACAGTCGTGATCCTGCTTTGTGACCAAACAAACCATTCCGCTGCAGTGCCTACAAGCATGTTTTTAGTGGTTGAAATGATTGTATCTGCCATCGTAGCGCACTTCCAATCGACACGCCTCACGGTAAAGTACTGCTGTACTTGCTCTTTAAAAAGCGCGAACGACTCTAGTACTTGCCCTCCTTACCGGGGAGCCTTTAATGCGTCCGACTGTAAGTTCTTAAGCGCTGTAGCCCCAAACATCTTTCTCATCAATTCTTGTTGCTGCGACATCATCGCCAACATGCTTTGCATGAGCTCAGCATTTGCCGCCCGCTCATGACGTCCACAAACTTCGCACAGCTTTTTGCAGTCAGATCGGGGTCGGTTCGGGTTCAGGGTCTGCGTGTGGGTCTTCACACCAACAAGTGCTACCAGATGTGGTGCCTGGTATGTAACGCCTTGATGGAGAATACAAAAGTGACTGCATTGTCTCCTTAATTTACACGCAAGCTGCTACTCTAAGTCTTCTGGATTCCATGGATAATGCTTTCTCGATTTCAACTGGGATTAAACTCGATGGATTGCACAACGTGCTCTTATACGGTCGGTCCGCAACCATTCTGGAGCAGGATTGTACAACGTGCGCGTAGACGAATTCAACCGCAATCATTCTGGAGCGGGATTGCACACCGTGCGCGTAAACGACGTCGAAAGCCATTCTGGAACGAGCGCCTTTGCTACAAGTATTCTGATCCTTTTTTATAATTTTGACTTGCGCAACATTGTGTAATCGATCAAGAAGTCGCATGAGATTGTTGATAGGTCAAGGGCGAGGCAATGTATACTAATACTGTGCCATGTCAGCGGATGAATGGCTGTACAAGCGGTGTTGAAATGAGCCGACAGTGCCACAAATCTTGTTTCTCACAGCATTTTCAGCAGAAAGGGCTGTTACATTAGGTTGACCAAAACTTATCTGTAA